GGGTGGGGGCCCTTAACTGAAACTTTTAACTAACTTTACTATTTACTTAAGAGGCTCTTAACTAACTTGGCCCCTTCTTAGGCATTGCCTAACTAGTGCCACCGAAAAAAGGGCGCCGAACGGATCGGAAAGGGGGAACTTCACACCCGGCGGCACTACTGTGGGTATTGTGAGCAGGGGGAAATGGACAGTGCTGGATATGTACCAGAGCAGAGGGTTCAGCAGCGTCCCTTGGTTCAGAAAAGAGCATACCTACATGGGTATCCATAGTTTGATGGGGTTTCCTTTGTATTCAGTGACACACCAAGCCTCTACGTTCCGTAGACATTGATATGGGGGGCCCCGAAGCGAGAGGAAAGGATCTCGTGGGGGAGTAGGTACATAGCTACCTACCTACCCAGGCAGCTTCAGAGAGAGATCACAGCGTGGCATGCCACGGGTCAACAGGTAGTATTGTCGAGACAGACTCGTTCCTTCCTTTGGCGATCCCCTCGCGGGCTGGAGCCAACCCGCCCCCAGCAATGTAAAAAGAAAACAAAGCAAATCACATACGTACCAAGATGGTGATCTAGAGGATGAAGACGACAAACGAAGACAAGGAGGATCGGTGAGGACGACAGGTTTCCAGGGGGTCCACCGGCGGGCGAGAGAAAGGCATCATTGCCAGAGATTGTCACTGCTTTGTTCCTTTTCAGGATCTTTAGTGTTTTTTTTTGGGGTTTCCATCGTGGATGGATCGCATCCAGCCCAGATACCCAACACATCTCTACCATATCTTCTCCCAAGTCCTTCTAAAGATGTTCATCTGCGCCAACCTCCTCTTCTCAAACTCGTCGAACCCAATCTCCTCCCAGATCTTGCACTCCTCGTCGATCTCGGCCTTGCCGCTCCAGATGTCCGCCGTCTTGGGATCGACCCACTTGGTGCGCTTGAGGACCTTCCAGAAAACGAACATGAAGATTCCATAGGCGAGGCCGAAGTAGTTGGTGACGAAGCCCTGAGTGCTCCAGGGTACGAAGCAGTCAAACCCAATGAACAGCATGACAACGCAGCCGACGAAGATGGCCATGTATGCCGTGTAAGGTGCGAAGGGAGCCTTGTAGGGAAGGGTGTTGCGGTCAATCCCTTGAGCTTTGAGAGCCCGGTACCACCCCAAATAGGTCCAGAGCATGCATGTGTAGGTCAGGATAAATGCGATGGTGCAGAGCCAGATGAACCAGAAGAAGACCGTCACGGCCGCGTTGGAGGCGACGAGGTACGTGATCAACGAAATGACCGTCACCACGAGCACACAATAAATCGGGACCCCGGCTTTAGTGCACTTCATCAAGAACTTGGGCGCGAGACCGTCGCGGGCGAGCGAATAGAGCGTCCGGCTGGTGGAGTACAGATAGGCATTGCCGCACGAGAGGCCGGACAGCAGGATGAGGGCGTTGATGAAGCTAGGAAGGCCGGTGATGCCCAGATTCTGGATTCCAACCACCCACGGCGAAGCGGCGGAACCGGCTTTTCCGTCGTTGATGGCGCTGATCAGCCGAGCATCGCGGGAAGAGCAGATGATCCCGACGCAGAGGACGCCGACAACGTAGAAGCCGACCAGCCGGTAGAAGACGAGACGAGCGACCCGTGGGATTGTTCTGCGCGGATTTTGGATCTCGCCTGCCGCGAGGGCGATCAAGTCTGGTCCAGAGATTGTGAACGCTGCATATCGAACGACGCTCCAGAAGCCCAGGAAGCGTCCAGTGGTACCAGTAGTGTAATAGGGATGCATAGCCAGTCCGTGTTTCCAGTAGCGGAAGCCATAGGCATCATGGTGTGGATTCCCACCGACCATGGTGATGAATGTAAGGAGGATCAACCCCATCAGAAGGAGGATTTTGGTCGAGGCCATGATGAACTCGGATTCGCCGTACCATCTGGAATGCAACAGTTAGAGCCCGCAGGTAACGAACCCAGCGTCGTTTGAACGCACCTGACTGCCACGATATTCAAAAACACGCAGACCACCAGAGCCATGGTCACCCACACGGCTGCGTTGACGCTAGTGTTCCAATAGGTCATAACTGTAGCGACAGAAGCGTACTCGGTGCAGACCAGCATCGCCCCAGCGAAGAAGTAGGTCCAGCCCATGGCGAAACCTAGGGCAGGATCCACGTATCGACCACCAAGCTCGAAAATGGTGCCTCGGATAGGGAGGTATGCCAGCATTTCGGCCACGAGTAAATATGCTGGCCAGATGAAGAGGAGGCCCCAAAACAGGTAGCCCAGGACAAGCGAAAGCGGGCCAGCATTCTTCAGACTGCCACCGATACCCACAAAAAGAGCGGTTCCTATACTGCCACCGATTCCCATCAACTGAACATGGCTATTGCGCAATCAGCACTGAAGCCTTGTAGCGTCAAAGTGTAGAGGCACTGGACTGCCTCTCCAGCGTTGGGGCAAGCCTGGGAAAACACTCACCGAGGCGTAAGGCCGCGTTTCGTCTGGCGATATTTGGCCCATTCCGATGTGGATAGTCGCCTCTCGTGAAGCTCGCCCTCCTGAGGGGTTTCCGAGACGACGATCGCCTCTCCTTCACGGGCTTGCTTGCTGTCCGTCTTGACGTCCATCTTGGGAGGGTTTGCGTATGTGCTGACGAGGATCGATGTTGGACCGGGACCCGATACCGTATATGTGCGAGCATACCGAGGCAGGTAACACGCATGGTATTTCATATATGCGAGCTCATAGATAAGAACCAGGGATGGTATAGTCGTCCACGTCGACTGCCGGCGGAAGCAGTTGCGGGCATCTCCATGATGTGACCAGGATCTTCACCCTGTGGGATTCTAGTCTCCAGGACATGGCGAAGCGATGGAATTGTGATATTGGATGGGAAAGGCTAAGCTCCTTGGCTGCCACCTGAGACTCCTCTTCGTGATTTTGGGAGGGAGATAGGTCACGGCGTGTCCGTGTAGCTGTTCCAGCCCCAGTGACATGCGATCGAGTCGAATTCTGGATAGAACAACACACTGGGAACCGCCAACCCGCTATGATGATCACCCACATGGTTGCATTTGAAATGGTCTCGGCCTCGTGCCAAGCCTGGGCGATGATACTGCAAGCGGCAAGGTCATGATGGCGGTATCCAAGTTCTTTATCGCGACCTTATCTATCTCACGCACTTGCCGTTAGCGGGGATTGGCGCGAGAAAGAGGAGTTGATTCTACGCCGCAATGTCCTGTTGTGGCTTCGATATCTGTCGGCTATGAGGGCAAGGAGTTCCAGATCTGACAAAGTGTTGATAGGCAATTGCTGCGCGGATTTTCCCACGTGGAATGATGAGGGCGGCATCGGGAGGTGGATGGGCAATCAATTTGCCTCGTGGTTATTTGCCTGGACTTCTTCCTCCGCTTGAGTGTCTTTATCATCGAATGGAAGCAATTTTGTAAAGGTTCCCATATCTGGGAGAGCTATCGAGAGTGGCTTGGGAGTGTCTTTTCGGCGACGAAACATGTCGGCGACGTTCGTTGGTGGAGTCGGTCAAAGGCTATTTCTCTGATGTTGTTTGCATGTCAGGCGGTTACAGGTAAAAGTCTCGGATGCAGGGATCATTAATGAGCTCTTCGGACTCATGGTCGATACGCCGTGAAATATACGTGAGAACTCGAGATCAGCACAGAAGATGTTGGACAAATTGCGATCCTACCAGGCTGGCATCGAGAATGTCAGATAGTGAGACCAATGCCATCAGCAATGGCCTTGTGAATAAGATGACATGATTGGCAAGGTCCTGGACAACGCAGGAGACAGCCACATACATATGTGTACTGAGTGGAAGACTCCAAAACAGACGAAGGAGGTGCTTGAAAGGAAGAAGCTTGAGCGACCGGGACGAGGCGAGGACATACTTGGGACTCAGTACAGTGGCAGCCTCGCTCGCAAGGCTGAGTGTTGTCACGTGCAGAGATCACGTGGAGCCCGTGTCGACTGCAATTTCAACTGCGCAAGCAAACTGCGGCCTCCAGGATTAATATTGATTCATTGATTACCAGGAATTGATCGAGTTCTCAAGTTACGGTACAAACCCTCACCATGAGCGCCTCATAATGGATGACTGCCACACTCCAATATCTTGTTCCCAGTCCCCTCAACGACATTCATCCATCCTCAACATTGTCCCTCCGTGCGCCTGTCTCTGGTCTTATGAGTTGCAACAATTTCCAATGACTCTCAGACCTCGTCCAACCTGGCCAGCGTACTGCTTGATTGCAGACATGTGAAGCACATGGCTGGTGTCTGCGAACGAAGCCGGCCCAGCGTGATTCCAAACAACCGCCCGACCGACCAAAGCTCCATCAGTCCACGCGCCACATGACATCTCGCTCCCTTTCCAGCCCGTCTGCCTCAGCGGAAAGGCCATTAGGACATGCATCCATTCCAGCAGAGCCGAACCCAGTGCCAGAACCCGCGCCGAAAACACCAGAATCGGGACCACCGACAAAGTGGTCCTGCACGGCCCCTGCATTGTGGCCAACATTATTTCTTATCGCAGCTCTCGCTTGCGCCTTCCAGTATTCCATTTCCATATACAACGCTTTCTCACGACGCGCCCACTCCATTCCACATTCCCAGTAGGCTTGCTTCTCTTTTTCTGTCTGGGCCAGCTTTCGCTCCAACATCTCAACCTCATGGCGGAGGTCGCTGTTCTCTTTGGCCGATCCGATGAGGTCGGCACGCAAGTCTTCCAGTTGCTCCGCCGAGATGAGCGTGAGCTTGCCGGTGTTTTCTCCCTTTGCATCTCCGCTTGCATCTCCGCTTCCGCCTTGAGCTGCGACTACTCCTTGGGCTTGGACAGTAGGGGTTCGCTGGGTCGCCATCGAGGAAGATGCCAGGACAGGGACAGAGGCAGGCAAAGCCATAGAAGCAGATGTAGGTACAGGTGATGGTTCAGGCTGTGTCGACGCCACTGACTGTTGCGACTCTCTCCGCTGGTTAACTCTTCGTGTGCGCGCCCCGGCCTTCTTCCGGGGAAGATTGGATCTTGCGACAGGCACTCCAAACTTGTCGCCTGCTACGGGCGCCAAGCCGGTGCGTTTATGGGGGAGTTCTGTGTCATGCAGGATTTGACCAGCTCGCAGACGCTGGATTTCTGGAGTCCGATCAAGCGCCTGTCCAGCCTGAAGCTCTCGTTGCTGAGGCTATATTTATATGACTTGTTAGTCTTAAGTTGCTCAGACGCAGCGACGGATGAGAGATAAACATGTGACAATGGAGGCTTGATTGGGAACGCGAATTGGTGTCTGTGCTGACTCTCGGTTGACCACCAGGCCTGCACCAAATGGCATGTTGTCACAACAAAGGAGCAGGCAGAGAGCGGGAAGCCAAGCAAACAAACGTACTTCTTCTTGATTGCTAATCGCGGCTTGTCGTGCCATTATTGGGGTTTTCATGGGAAGATGATGACCACCTGCAAGTGTTTGTTCTCCCTGATTGGTGACCGCAGCGTTTGCCATTGTCGAAGCGTCCATATGAGGAGGATGAGCAAGTATTCGAGAAACGAATGGGAGGATGATGATTAACAAGTCTTTGAGCGATGAAAAGGACGATGAACAAGTCTTTGAGAGATGAAGAAGAATGATGGAATAAAAGAAAGAAGGAGATGCCGGCCTTTATCCTTGTGAAAAGTGACTTTGTCACCGTGGCGGCAGGAAGGACGGCGGCGGCGAGCTTTGACGAGTAGGTGACAGGGTGACAGAGTACAGTGACGTGGTGACGGCGCCAGTGATACCCCCTGCCATTCACATGCTCTCTTCCGTTTGTCGACTTCGTTTATCATTCATGACCTATCTTACATCTGAAGAGTATTTGCGTACAGGTCGAAAACACATACTGAAAACAAGGCTGCGTATATCTGATGCGTGGGAGAGGATTCGACATGGAAGAATTGTACAATATCAGCAGATTGGCCGCCCAAAGATACACAAGTCTGGCTCATATCACAGTCGTGGTTCATTGTCCATGCGGTCGTGGTGCCTCTCATCCTTTTGCGTTATATTTGTCATTAAATGCGTTCACGGCTGGTACAGTGGTGGTTAGCATTTCTTCAGGCGTCAAGAATGTCCACTTACCAATGGCAATTTGTTTGTACAGCCAATTCCTGCTACCCTCATCCGCCACGGGAATGAAGGGTCCGTTTGCTCCTCCTTTCAACCCGATACTCATCCCCGTCCGCTCCTTGCTGATTGTCTGCACGTCCGTCAGTTTGATGTCCCACTCCATGCGCAGCTTTTTGGTCCGGATCATCAAGATGCGTTCATAGGTGATAACCACCATCATGTCGCCGCCTTCGAGCTCCAAGTGGGCAATGTATTCTTCGTTGAAGTATCGGCCGTCATCGCAGGTCTTGAGCCAGAACTGCCCGAGGGCTTCGCGTTGCGAGTACGGCCTCACAATCCCGTCCATACCAATAAAGCGAGTCAGACGAACACGGTCCAGGCCCTCCGAATCGAATACTGTCGTGGTGTTGCGGACTCCTTCGGCCACGTTCGAGGCGAGATCGAAGGCGCCGATGGCAGGCTTGGTGGCCAGACCGAGGAAGCCCTTTCCGACGCCTTTGACAAAGCCTAGAGCCCCTTCCTTTTCTGCTCCCTCCAGAGGATGTCGTGCCAGGCCTCCAATACCGCTGGCCATACTAGCGGCAAAGGCATTTCCCCCGGCAGTGACGCCATAAAGGGCATGTTTGGGTCGATTCCGACTCTTTGACATTCGCCTCTGGTCTTGGAACTCCTTGTCCATGGTGGCAGCCGCCAGGCCCTTGGAGATGGAACCGCTGAACTTGGCCATACTGTCACTGAAGCCAAAGACGGACTTCTTGACAAAGCTGCTGGCTCCTTTGGCAATGCCAATACCGAGCTCTTGTGGCCTGTCGGTCATGACGAGGCCTTGGTACGGCTCGTAGAAGATGTCGGCAACACCAGAACTGATGTTGTTGAACAATCCAACGGGATTGCCAAGGAAGTCGGCAGAACCGAGAATGATATGGACTTGACGTAGCGCTTCTTGGGTGTAATGGTTTTGGATGTTGGCGATCAGTGCTGGAACGGATATCCTCGCGTTTTCGAGCATCAACGCATTGAATCGGATGGGCGCGTCGTTGACGTTCCCTATCGACATAGTCATGACATTAACGATAAACATCAGCGGACTGTTGACGAAATTGTCCTCGGCGTTTACGCGTTCTGTTCTGACAAAGGAGAGGTCAAGCTGAATAGGTTGCAGATGCAGCAGCTCAAAATAGACGTCCTGACCCTGTTCTTCTCGTGTGGGCTCAGGCACGTCGAGACTCTCGTCGCACAGTTTTCCTTCTTTCTCTTCCGACCACGACGCTCCGGGCACTTTCGCAAAGTCGAGCATTGCGAAGATAAAGTCTTCGTCAAGCTCAACCGTGATCTGCTGCAGAAGCAGCGTGGCGTATTTGATATAGAGCACACCGTAAGAATCGTCCTTGACCCTTGTAACCATTGTGTGGAAGATGGGATGCGCCTCCATTTCCTTGCCGGTTTTGGGCACTACACTCGGGTATAGCAAGATCGGGAAGATGCCGCCATACAGTTGATTGTCGATTTGTATCCATTTGACTGTGAAGTTCAATGTTTGGTAGAGCTTGGAATCTCCATACTTGAGGTCCATCTCCCGAAACGTGACATACATCAATTCCTTCAGCTTGCTGTTGACGAGCGAAATTCCAATGCCAGCCAGTCGCAGCTCGGCCTTGAAATTGACCTCTGATTCGATCTGCTTGACTTCAAATCCTTGATTGAGGCTCGTCTGTGATGCGGTCGTCATACCCGTCTTCTGTCGGTACATCGACCTGGACGGCTTGTAGTTGGACAACACCAGCGTCTGTGTTGGTCCATCGGCAACAATGTTGATGTCGATCACTTTCATTGGTCCTCCACGGTCATCCGGTGGCAGCTTGATCGGGATCAAGTTTCCTATTTCTGCCAATTTGACGTACCTCTCCCTTCCCCCGGCGGTAAGGACGAGCTCTTTGTTCTTCGACGCGGGGTAGTCCCAAGCATAAGGCATGATACTTCGTGGAGGAAGCCTATATCGGATGGGCTTCCAGCCGCTTCCTTTATCTTCTTCTTCATCCTCACCAAGGTTGGGATTGGCCTGGAAGAACAAGAATTCGGTGTCACTCTCGTTTCTCATCGAGAACGGCCAATGTTTCGTCTCGATGCTGAAATGTAAGAACAGGGTAGCGTCCTCCAGAATGATTTCGACGCGGACGAGTTTTTGTCTTTGGCCATGTTTGGCGAGTTTGACATGGGTCATGCCGACATTTGCCATGTTGAATGGGGATGACCATTGGTTATTGACCCCGGGGAAGCACATGCAAAGTTGCTTTTCAGGTGATTGCCGCATGAAGTACATGGGCAAGAGATCATTGTTCTTCATCTTCCAAACCTCTGACGAACCAGGTTCTCGGAGCTCAATATCTTCACCAATCTTGTTTTTGAGCACGAAGCGTGGTGCCATGGTAACAACTTTCGTCAAGCTGTATTTGCCTTCGCCTTCTGCCACAGATACTCCAACATGCATCTCAGACTTGCCTGAGGCGGAGGGCAAGACGACCTCGTACGAGCTCCCGATTGCGTCGAAACTTTGCGGTTTGCTCCAGGTGGAATCGCCGATCTTGATGAGAGAACGATTCTTGCGATCATCGCTGCCGTACGAATACAACATTGGCAGAGCTGTCCCTTCTCCAGCGCTTGTTCGTGCTCCCTGGGGGGATGAAGCCTTGGTGGAAGACCCGAGAAACGCCTTGCTCTGAACGCTCATGTCAAGCCCAGTTTTGTTCAGAAGGACGTAGGGGCTGTACACTGATACTCTGAATGCCCCTCCGCTGTCCTTGATGTTCGTGTAGTGAAGCTTTAGTCTCAACTGGGCACCTCTCTCGTCCTTCAACTGCAGCACTTTCTCTCGGCGAAATCCCTCTTGGGTATCACTGTTGATGATGGCAAAGTCGCTTTGTTTGAAGGGGGCATCCTCCACCTCAACACTCAGTAATAGAAGGTGAGATAGTTCCACGACATGTACCGGGCTCACACCACCCTTGCGTAGGAAGTTTGTCCAATCCTTTTTCGTGTTCTTGTCATAGATGCGATACTTGAAGTCGTACGGTAGCAGGTTCTGGATCTCGACGGGTGCCGAAACCTGGATCCTCATGAATGGATAGATCTTTGTAATGGGATCTTTGTCATCGTACGATGCGTGCATCTGGAAAAAGAAAGGCGGTGACTCATCTCGACCTTCAGATTCGCAAGTGAGAGCTCTGGTTTGTCTTCTCAGGAGGTCCTTCCAGAACAGCCGCTCATTCGACCAGCCATATCCGAATCCCTGGTCGGGGCGCAAAACCAGTGAATGGACAAATGCTGCTCCCACGGGAGCAGGTTTGCCTTCGCCAGGAGCAATCTTCTCTATCTTGAGGAGATGGCCATCGTCGGGACTATAGACGCCAACCTCGATGGGTATCTGGGTCTTGTTTTCGACGAGGAGGGGTGAGCGGAAAGTGATGTACTTGACATTGTCAGACCCCAGTCGCACCTCGACAAGCATCCGGTGCTGCACACCGTCCTTCCTCGGCTTGAGGTTGTACAGGGTTTCTCCTTCGCGGATGACAGGAATTCGGACGACGCTGTCGAATCCACTACCCTCGAGCTTGACACCGACCAGGCCAGCATTACCTTCCGGTGAGAGACTCTCACGCATAGAAGTTGCATCTTCAAATCGCCAGGCATATTCTTCGCCGTCGGTGAGTTTAGCTGCAGCTGCGCTTTCGCTCTTCTCATCCGCCCAGACACTAAGATCAAATCCAGTATAATTTCGGATTCGATATGGCGCGTCTGCCACCCGCGGCTTTGATAGGATGTCTTCATCCGTTGAAAGAAAGTCGAAGGATTTGGAGGCAAGGGCAATTGTGGCGGACGTGATCGTCAGTTCCATATTCTTGTGCGAATACAGCTCCATAGACAGCACCTCGGGATGGAGTTGCTTGGACATGTGGAATCCAAGGTTCCAAGGCTCGATCAACGGCTCCCATGCGGACTTTGAGAAATTGTATACGTTGATGAAAGTATCGATCTTGGTGTCGGCCGTTAAAGAGCTGGACCAGTCACGCACATCAACGTCAAATTTCTTCACACTCCAATCCAACAAGGGAAGTTCGTGCATATCTCCAATCAATATAACCCGGATGCCTTCGATTTGCGCGACCATCTCTTCCCGACTCATGACAACCGACTTCGAAGACTGCTGTTGTGATCCAGATTTGGTCGATTTGGAGACTGATTTGGATCTCTTGGACCTCTGTGCTGCTGTTGATGTCGCTGCTATCGACTTGCGCTTCGTAGAAGGGGCCTTGGAGGATGCTTTCACATCTTTGAGCTTCTTTGGTTCTGTATCTTCCTGCATCTTCGGTTGTGCGGTTGTAGACGAAGCCTTACTGACAATTTGCATCGCCAGCAAGATGTCACGAAGTGACAGGCGGAGAACCAGAGGCTCTATACCAATGTGAATCGACGTCAACGAAGACTCTTTGCCTTGGCTTCGGTTATCCATGGACATTTGGATGCTGAAGTCGTCGAGGATTCGAAGACGACTAGTTTCAAAGCGATCCATTCTGCATAAGAACATTCCGACTTTACTGACCTGCAGCGTCATCGCGTTTTGCTTTGACACGAGGACTTCTTTGGTACCAAGAACAATAGCCTCGGTGTTGGATATGGTGGGATTTGCGATCAGGATGACCTGCGCATCCACGACGTTGAGTCGAAATGATATGGTCATCGATGACTGACCCGCTGATTCGACTTCCTGAGCGCCACTTTCCATCTGGCCTTGGTCATTTTCGAGGCTTGGATCACTTCTTTCAGTTAAATCGTCCACCTCCGCAATCGGTGGCGGCTCGTCGGATTGTAGCGCCGTATTTGCGAAAGCTTGAAGTGCGAAGATGTAATCCAAAGCGACAATGACCCGGGGACTGTCAATGGTAAGCATGACAATCATGTGGCGTTCTTCTCCACCAGTAATAGACAGACTCGCCATGAACTGCTGCTGCACATCGTTGTTTATCAGAGACATTATCTTCCGGAATTTATTTGTTTCTTTCGTGCGGCTGTCGCGGACGGTGAAAGAGTGAATCACTAGCTCAGCCTCCATAGCGCCGTCGCTGATCATCCTCAACTTGATATTTGTCTCGTTTATGGAAAACTTTGACAGGCTGGCTGCCTCGAGGTTCTCAATTGGCCGGTCTTCATCCGCGAGCATCAGTTCCAGGGCGATCATTGGTGCTTTGAATACCAAGTTCAATTTGGTCCATGTCTCTTCGCCAGTCCCAAGCTCGGGGCCTTGGTATGAGGGTTTAGCAAGCGATTCGGACGTGGTTGTCTCGGGCTCAGCGGCCTTCGCGCTTTCTGTTGTGGATGACGGCAATTCCTCAGCCACATCCTCTTCACTTTCATCGTCGGTTGCAAAAGCTGCCGGAATGGTCTTTGACAATTCCATCAGAAATTTGAATTGAGTGTGGGAAACCCTCAGATTTATCGGCGACATAGAACCATCGATTTCAAGATCTGGTCTCTCAATTCCCGCCTGATGTTCAAGGTAACGAATTTTGAAATCGAGATCAACCTTGTCAATCATTTCCAGCTCCTGGGACGAGCCATCGCTGTAATGGAATTCGCTGGTCAAGCGAATGTGTCTGATGCCGGCCGCCAACTTGTTGACGAGCGGGCCACCCTTTTGGCCCTGGACACCGACGAATTTGTTGTTCGCGTATATCTCGCCGAGATAGGCTGTGAGGAGATCACGAGGTCGATCTTCGACCATGGCTCGGGGGAAAACGACAATTGGTGTCTTGATGATGACGTCGAAGTGCATTTTCTGCGCACTTTCTTGTACTTGTGTAGCTTGGTTGGCGGCCGCCTGTCTGGCTGCATTGAAAATGGCTTGCATCTTCCCAAACTTAACCCCGAATTCCATGATCTTCCGGAACGGCTCCTCCAGGAAGTTAACTTTGATGGACCCTGACCGAAGATAGATTCCCGAATCATATCCCGGGTAGTCCTTGCGGGAAGAGTCGAAGGTCTGGTACTTGAAATCCGCTAGATCATCTCCTTCAATGGCAATTAACCGGCGCAATGGGGAGTCTTCGGGTGCACCCTCATTGATATCGTCAACCAACGACAGACTCCCCAGTCTCGCCTTGACCTGCATGGTGCCGGCGTCCAGGAAGACTCCAACGTCACCAGAGTTCAGAGAAAGTGTCGCAAGCCGCACACCGTCGTTGTTCAGAATGAGCGCAATGCTGGTCAACTGGGCTTTTATTCTAATCTTGTCTGCCTGGGGCTCTGCCGGTCGAGGATCGTCGGCTCTCTCTTCCGGTTCGTCTGTATCTTCTTGTGTCGCCTGTTGATCACCAGGACTCGTGAAGGTGGTAAGGACAAAGTCCAGCAGAGTGAGGAGCGTCCGCCTTGTAACAATTACGTTGATGGTAGACATGGCTACGTCAAGGTTGGTAGCAATACTTTCGTAGGTAGATTGGAATTCAGGCGATTCAGGATTGACCTTGACAAATTTGACGTTGAGCAAGTCCTTTCCTTCTTCTGCATTGAAGCCTTTGGACGATATTATCTGCTTGAATTCGGGTAGTGGTTCCTCTTCAATGTGATCGTCGACGCTCAGTGAACGCAGCAGCACTTGAGCCACCATATCGTAGGGGCGAAGATAAAAATCGAAATAGAAGCGCTCAGCCACAAGTTCTACCAACAGCTGATCCGGCTTCTTGCCGTCCGGATCGGCTTTGTACAATGAAGCCTGCAGTTTTTCGACTGTGAAGTTGATTTCAAAATTGCGCTGGTGTATATTGGCAGGTGTCTCGGGCTTGTTCCGGGAGTCCTTTTTGGTGGGAGCGTCTTCTGAATCTGAGTCGTGATCAATAATTGGGATGTCCTTGGCTTCGAGCAACTGTACGGATTTCCTCTTCGATGCTTGATCTTCGGTAGCTTTCTGCGGCCGCGACTCGACCGCAGTGCCATTTGCTTCGGTTTCGGCAGTGTCAAACTTCGGGATCGCAACGTCTATTAGCCTCATGATATTTTTGTATTTCTTGTCTGATATGGAGGCGTGGAGAACAGGCAACGTGCCGGAGATGCGGACCTTTGTTATGTCGGGGGCTTTCGGTATGATCGAGTTCTCCAGGAGGAAGGCCATGTTTATGCGGTCAATGATGTGCATGCTCTGAGAGTCGTCTTCTGCCTCCAGCTGCGCTCTCGTCTCTTCAATGCCGGGTCCAATCAGTACCTGTGTTGATTCGAGCTTCAAGTGGAACTTGTCATACATCAAGCCCTCAAGCTGTCTGTAATCTTCTTCGGTGTACTTCTGCTTTTGCTTGCCGTGGATATCCCGCATCGTCTCCTTGTCAACAAGTTCGCTATTGAGGCTGACATGACCAGCGTCAAGAATCATGCAGAGGGTGCTCTTCTCCGTAATGCTTTCAGGAATGATAAAGATAGGTGCATGGATGTCCAGATTTGCGTTGATGGTCTTGTGCTCCTCCAATGCAAACTCAAGACCTGCGCGGGTTTGCTGGCGAATCTCTTCCACTGTTGCACCCGCCGTCTCGAGCAGAGCGCCAATGGATTCCATCTGCCGTTCTGGAGGTTTGAAAAACTTGACAATCTCGACCACGAACTTGGGATTATGGATGAACTCGAGACTCTTGAGTTTCAAATCGACTTTTGTGTCGGCGCTTTCATCAAGGGGATTGTTTTCGAAGACGAGGTGGAACAAGCTGTCTTCCTCCTGCTCTCCTTTCTCTGCAACCGCACTTTCTGACTCGGCTTCGTCGTCCAAATCTTCCGTGCCGTCTTGTTTCACTTCATCCTTGGGCTGATTCTCTACCCCTTTGACCTTGACAATTTGTGGGAACAAGGTCCCCTCTGTCGTGCCGTCGTAGACACGAAAGCCTCCGAGTGCCAGTTCAGCCAGGAAAGAGTCAGGTCGTTGAAGTGCCTTTGCCTTAAAATTGTCGAAGACCAATTTGAGAACCTCGGTCTCCTGACCGTGGGGGTCTCGTTTCAAAGTGAAGCTGCCGGTTCTGAGACTCGATTCTACCTCAAGTTTGACGCTCTCTCGGGGCATATCAACGCTCTCGGCGATCGCTTTCTTCTCGTCCCAGTCAATGGCGTTGTAGAGCTCTTTGCGCTGTTGTTCAGTCATGCCAGCCTCTTCGTCATTCTCTGAGGACTGCTCGGCCTGGCCCTTGGCGCCCCAAATCCAAGAGGACCAAGTCTGCTTTTGGGCGGGCTTCTTCACACCGACATTCTCCTTGCGTAGCTGTGTCCGAGCGAGCGATCGCCAAAATCGTAGATCCTCATAGCTCAGATCGTGCTCCAGTTGGGTCAAGTCTTTTGTTTCTTGTTCGGTGAACTTTTGCTCCTTCTTCTTCTTCTTGAAAAGTTCAATGTATCTGCGTCGGGTGTCCCTTCGTTCCTTGAAATACTCCCAAGTCCACTTCCTGTTCCGGTCGTGGATCTTGGTCAGAACGGCATTTCCGGCGAATTTGAGCCAAGCTCGAGGATTCTCTTTGGGGCTCTCTTTTGGCGCGTCCTTTTTGTACTCGTGATGACGAACGAAGTAGTGCATCAGGTCCACAAGCATCAGAGCGTCACGGTATTGTTCATCGTCAATGATGAACCCGAGCTCCTGGAAGAGCAGCCGCGCCTTGGTCTTTGCTTTGTCCGTCTTACCCGTCTTGTCCATCTCAATTCCGGCCCGACCGCTGACGGGCTTGAGCAGATATTGTGAGTGGCTAGTATCTTCGATGCCTTCTCTGAAGCGGCGGAGGAGCTCATCCTTGTCAATTTCTTGTGCCTCGGCGCCAACATCACCACCCTTGCCGGTCCCAAACAGATCTGCGTCACTGTTCCAATAGAGAGCCAGCGAATTCAAGACGGCCAATTTATGAGTGGTTTCCGAGGTGGACTGGATAAATGTTGGCTGCCAGTCAGCATCAGTTGAGACGGCGCTCATTTCTTTAAGTGTGAGGCCCACGGCGAACGGGTGGTCAGGCGTCGCGATGGAGTCTTCGTAGCGGATGTGGACATTTTTGATGCTGACTTGAAGGTTGTCGACGATGGCCGTGACAAAGCTCTGAGTAAAGCTCTGACTCTTCTGCTGTTCTTCTGGGCTCATGGCCTCGGTGTTGCGCTCCTTGAGTAGCTCGGCACTCTCGAGCTTTTCCAGTTTCACGGCTACCGCCCGCTTGTCCTCCTCGACCGGGTCGTAGTCATCTTCCTCCTTGGGCGCCGCGAGCAGAAAGACGTCTTCGATGTTGACCTTGACGGGCTTTCCTCGCAGGTTGGACCATGGTATTGACAGGGTCAATTCACCCAAGTGGCCTTCTACCACATTGATTGGCAGATGCAGTTGGTCAAGAGCCTCTCTCCTCAGCGCGAGGTTGCGCAGCTTGACGTCGCCCGACCAGATGCCTACATTGAGCTGCTTGGGATCGAAGTTCTTAACGTACATGCCCAAGAAGCGATTGAGGAGATTGGCGACTAGACTTTCCAACATCTTGGGCGAGCTGGCCGTTACCCGGGCCGGGATGAAGTAGGAGTCTTATCTGTACGAAGGGAACATGTGGTCTGGATGAGACCTTTGCCGGTGATGATGCAAAGGCGTAAAAGGAGGATTAGGGCAACAGAATTCAAGGTTTCTCCCGTTCTGCGGACAATCGCGAAGTTTGAAAATATGGCACAGCCACTCAACTGTGGCGGGGCAGATCGAGTTGTATCACTGACACAAGGCGGATAGGACAATTCAATGCGAGCACTCGAAGAACAAGTTTGACGCCGGGGCTGTAGCGAAAACCAAAGTGATACAAAGGAGGGACTTGAATTCTCCTCTCACGGCTCTTTTCCAGCTCAGTGGAAATGATTTTTGAAGAAAGTGACGGTGTTGATCAGTGAGTTGGAGAAGATGAAGAACTGCGAATGATGAATTGCCTGCGCCTGATGCTTCATTACGTCAGAGGAGCGGCAAGCGCAGCACACGCACAATCTACGAGGTACAATCCACGAGGTACCAAGTAACTAGTAGCCTAGTAGCCTAGTACCTAGCGAGTAGGTACCTAGGTACCTGGTACGGTGAGACGCGACCATGGAGTCACGGTGACACGGGTCAGCCACTGGTGACGAGCATTGACGCCTAGATCCTCCATACTAAGGGTGCTACGCATAGTACCTAGGTCCGTAGGCACCCATAGGGATTAACAATACCTAAGGTACCCTAGGTAGGTAGGCAAGGTAGGTACCTAGGTACCTAATTGGGTGCCCCATAAACATTGCACCACCGCTACACTCCCGCTATCACCACCTGCGCTCATACCCGTCAGACAATCTCGACATCACTGTCCCCGACTCCCCGTCCAACTCACTCGAGTGCGACTGCGTGACCCTCGCCCTTGCGGCCTTTTGTTTTCTCATCTTGTCACTCTTTCTCTCATTTTTTCATTACCCTGCAATCGTGTCGCTCATTTCCACCTGGGTCTCCTGACTTCTCCCTCACCCATCCTTGACCGCTCCCGACGATGAGGCGCCGGCGCCCTCGGTAGCCTGCAGAAATGGGGATTCGCATTACCACCTGGAATGTCAATGGCATACGGAATCCGTTCGGATACCAACCATGGAGAGACAAGAGGACGTTTGAGGGCATGTTTGACATTCTCGAGGCGGACGTGGTTGTCTTCCAAGAAACCAAAATCCAGCGGAAAGATCTCCGCGACGACATGGTGTTGGTGCCGGGCTGGGACAACTACTGGAGCCTGCCCAAGCACAAGAAAGGTTTCAACTCTCTAGATACACATATCTGTTGCTTCCGCCACGCTGACATGCTCAGGATACTCCGGCGTCGTCATTTACACGCGGAATGCCACCTGCGCCCCCATCAGAGCAGAAGAAGGCATCACCGGCGTCCTGACCCCTCCGAATAGCTCTACCAGTTTTCGAGACCTACCCGAAGAGGAGCAGATCGGAGGATATCCAAACGCTGAACAGTTGTCCGAAGCAGACTACGACCCGGCAACTCTCGATTCCGAGGGAAGATGTGTCATTCTCGAATTCCCTGCCTTTGTCCTCATTGGCACCTACTGTCCGGCCGAGCGAGATGAGACACGAACTCACTATCGCACGAGCTATCTTCGGGTGCTCGACGCAAGAATACGTAACCTCGTGAGAATGGGCAAAAGAGTGGTCTGGACGGGCGATTTCAACATATCGAGGGAGGAGATTGACACTGCAGCAGCACAAGAGAGCATGCGAAAGAACGGGATTGACCCAGTCCAGTGGATCTCCACTCCAGCACGGAGGATGTTCAACCAGCTGCTTGTGGGGGGCAAAGTCCACGGGGAGAGAGACGAGGGGAGAGAAACACCGATCATGTGGGACGTCTGTCGGGCCTTCCATGAAGGTCGCAAAGGCATGTACACCTGTTGGGAGACTAAAGTCAATGCCCGACCAGGAAACTATGGATCAAGGATCGACTATGTGGTGTGCAGCCATGATATGAAAGACTGGTTCAGTGACGCAAACATCCAGGAAGGACTGATGGGATCTGATCACTGCCCAGTCTACGCTGTGTTGAAGGATGTTGTGGTTGTCGATGGTGTTGAGCGACATATGCTAGACATGGTCAACCCGCCGGGCATGTTCGTGGATGGCGTGCGCAAACAGGACTGGTCCACCAAGTGCTTGCTACCCATGTCGGGCAAGCTGATACAAGAATTCGACAAGCGGCAAAGCATCCGGGACATGTTCACCCGCAAGCCATCGACCCTCAAGTCGAAGAGCAGCATTGGTGACACAGACACCAACGGTGCAGTGGTGGATATCCCTCTGACGCCAGCTATCGCAAGTGCCGACGCTCTGGCACCTTCTGAAGCGGACGATTCTAGTGCTCTTTCAAAAACAGTCTCGAATATTTCTACCAACACCAAGGGCATCAGTACAAAAAGGCCAGCAAAGGCAATTGAATCACCGACGGTGGTGAAGCGCAGCAAGACGACTCCCCAGACGACCTCCAACGGCGTCGGCAAGGGCCAGCAGAGTCTTAGAGGTTTCTTTTCCACCAAATCGTCGGCTGCGCAGGCCCCCGAGGTGGACGACCCCGTGGTTGAGGCAAAACTCGAAGAATGGCCTCAAGACCCGCTGACGCCCAAAGCCGCTCCGTCACTCGAGGATGAAGCCGCCAGTTTCTCAGCCAGGCAAAGCTGGGGTAAATTGTTCTCAAAGCCCGTGGCACCAAAATGCGAGCACGGCGAACCCTGCAAAACCATGTTGACCAAGAAACCGGGCGCTAATTGCGGAAGATCTTTCTGGATGTGCGCGCGACCACTGGGCCCCAGCGGCAAGCAGGAGAAAGGGACGCAATGGAGGTGTAATACCTTCATCTGGGCTAGCGACTGGGACGCGCATGCTACTGATCCGACCTGAGTCAAGAGCAACCTCTCCGGGACCTTGAAGGAAATGAACAAACGAGTCTGATTTGAACAACATGCTCCATGAGGAGCAGGACGACTGGCATCCCCCAGCATCGACGCTGAAGTGGCTGAACAACTGAACAAAGCACTCTCGACTCGATGACGAGTATAGGCGGGGAAATAGTCCAGGCCTTCAGCCAGCGGACTGTGGTGATTACCCCATTGCGGTTCGTCTAGCACTGGGAAGCATGAGAATGATAGTAACATGACACAATCGGGAATACCACAGTGGCTACAAGTGGTAGAGATTTTCCTGGTTCAGCATACCTGGAGGAGGTGGCCCGACAGAATCAACCGAGCTCGCTCTTCCTAGTCGCCAGGCCTTTCTCCCTGTTCAGTGGCTCTAAGCGCGAGGGGGTATTGCCTGAGAACGGCAGAAGTCGTCTTTGCTAGTCTTTCACCTCTACAACCTCATATGCAAGGAGTCAGTCTCAGGGTCGCCGGGGTGCTGTTGGGTGCAGGGTCAAGTGAACAAGACTCTCTGGCAAGCTGCAACTTTGACACATTCTTCGTTCCACTGGTCTCAGAACCTCATCCCGCTAACATGTGAATAATCTTCCCCTGACAGAAGCAGGAGGCTGTCCTGGCTATTCTAACATCTGCACGCCACAGGGCACTCAAATCGGAATTTCCCTTGGGTTGGGCTGGATGATGGCGCCTCTTGGAGAGCAATTCTCACCACGCTCTCTCCCTAGAGCGAAGCTGATTGCTCGCAGCAAACCGTGAGGCAAGGGGTCGGTTTCTCCTTGGATTGCCTCAAGGCAAGATCTGCGTTCGAGGGCATTGACCAAGTCATCGAGTGGGCTATGGAATGCACCAAAGTCGCGCACGGCTTGCGAAACGGCACGTAACGCTGAAGCCTGTGAGCACTTCGACTTGTGGCAAGCCCCCTTGCAGCAAATCACTTGGAAGAGGAAGTGGTTGACAGCTTGACAAGGGGAGTGCAAAGCAGTGGCAACTTGGCCAGGCGCAAGGCTAATTCCATTGCTGAGAGCCATCATTGGATGAGCGTCATTTGACCGCCTCAGTGACATCTCAGCCCGTTCGTATCGCCCCTCGTCGACCTGTCAACCAAAGCCACACCCAATGCTAGGCCTTTATTCGATCATTTTGACTTTTCCCTTGATCCCCCAGAGCAAGGACATGTCACCCGGCGCCGCGCGTCCTGACGGGAGCCTCCGACGTGAAAACGGGGCAAACCAAACAGTGCTGGCATGGCTGATCTGCGAAATCGAGGCCCTCACAAGGCTGAACCGCCACTCCCTCAAGCCTCAGTTCCATAGTCGACGGGGCTCTAGCAAAATCGGGGGGCCATGGGAGGCCAAGCAGTGGTCATTCTGGAGTGGAGGGAATCACCAGATTCATCTCACAGGAAAGGGCTGGAAGGGCTCGATCTGGACCATGGCATTTTCAGGCCTTTGCGCATTGACCACACTTGACATGAGCGAAGTTCTGGCAAATCGGAACGCGTCCCAGCACTTCCTTCGGCTAGCAGCTACGAGAGGTCAATGTGGGGACACGGGATGTGGCTCTAATATGCGTTCACTGGGGTGTGTTGACCACTCGTTTACCAGGTCTATTCTCTCCCCGTACACCGCAAGTTTCTGCTGCGCTTCACTTCTGCACCCTGGCCCTGTCCTTCCCGGGCAAACACTCCGTTCTGTATCAAAGGGCTTGGATACCTTGCTGAGGCCACTGCTGGAGTGCGGGAGGGAAGGGCCTCGGGTGTGCCGGAGTGTTTGGTGGACGTGACTTTGGAACTGACAGGACTCCACGCCAGCCACTCAGCCAATATCATTCGAGATTGGGGGCACATTGGTGGTGGTCCGAGCGATCTCCTTGCCACAGACCAACAACTCTTCGCCTATGTGCCTGCTTATCCCAGATCCAGGGATGACCATCGCCTCCAGATATGGATTGTTGGTGTCAGGCGCTTTGGCCAGACTATTCGGGGCATCATTGGCGTCCCAGAAACAGCAGACGCATTAATTCCATCCATAACCTCGCCATTCACAGGACCCCCTATCATTGACAGCACCTTGCATATGCCATCGGGAGCTGTCAGAAGCAGCGACCCAAAAACACGGACCGCTGTCACTACATGGGAGTGAGCTGAGTATCAGGGACGGCCTGGAGATAGGAACCCCCCTGGAGCCCGTGGACTCTTTATTCCCTTCCACCAGGGACAGAGCCTCCTTGCCATCCAAACTCTTTCTCCCGACAATCAACTACTTTAAGCCCTCTTACCTGGACATGCATTGGGGAGTTGTGTCAGAAATCAAACACCGTTCATACATGTTGGACTTCAAGTCTCTTCAGCTCCTGTCCACCCCAAGACCGTTCAACTGCACATAACAGGGCTCGCAGGCCCTACAGATCTGAAAGCTAAGCGAAAGCCAGAATGGACACATCGCCAGCATCTTCGGGTAACAGATCTTCCCTCTATTGCATTAATTGGAGGTTAGACTGATCGCCAGTAGATCTAGTGTTCGAGAAGAGACCACTTATCACGACCCTCGCCGGTGATCCTTCCCTGGGAACGGACAGCCATCAGAGGCAGCAGTCACCGGTCAGACCGCAGCCTCTGTCGGTCCTCTCTGCGGCCCTGCAGTCGGAAGAGGAGAGAGATTGCCAAGAGCAACTTGACGGAAGGAGGGTTCGACTGGCGATGCTGGGCCGCGAACTCAACACGATGTTGAGGCTCGCCATCTTCACGTATCGCCATTCCGGGGCGGCTGCGAAAGTTGGGTCGTTGCTTGTGCTGCTGCCCACGGAGCGAAAAGCGAGGCAGCAAGCGGAGATATTCGCGTCCCTGAGGAGGCCAGACTATCCTCCTCTCCCTGATGAACCCGAACCCATCTGCACCTTTTGAGTTTGCTGTGGTTGTAAGGGACGACACAGGCGACAGGCGGTCTGTTTACGCTGTTTTCGTGCTTGTACAATACAACAGTCTGCCAGAGAGAGGGTGGCGATCGGATGATTTTGCTTGGCTACGCACGAAGCCTGTGAGCGATGTATTATTACACGTTGGCGAGTTGGCGAGTTGGGGAGTTGGATGAAGCCTGCTTCTGGCACACTGGGCGCCTCTTCATACCCACGAAGCGCCCGTACATGTGCTTTCCCCGGGCGCATCGTCTCAGCTAGCTAGCCCAGTAGCTCTCAATGTACTCGGTATCTTATCTACTTGCGCATTCAACCCCAGCCGATCTGACCGCCACTGTTCCAAGAGCAGACCTTTACATCTCTTTGCCCTACCACTGTATCAGACTTCCTTGGGGGTTATCTCAGCATTTGCTAGATCTTCCGGGTTATCGACTACCCTGGCCGATGCTTAGGTATTTAGCTGGCTCGCTGGATACTCGGTACGCTATCGTGATTCATGAGCCGACATCCACCATGAACCCCCCTTCACCGTCCTCGTCCGAGCACACCAAGTAGAACCGACTCGCATTCCCAAAAACAGAAGCAAAACAAAAAAGGGATGAAACTCTATCTCCAATCGTGGCAGCATCACGCCCCTAATCAGCTCTACCTACACACAACAAGACCCAGGCTGTGACTTCCTACTATAGGTACATAGGTACCCACTGGACCGTCTCTCGCAGCACACTTGATCTCATTTATTATTTCACCGTCACCGACCAACCCGAGTCGGGAGAGGAGACGTCGATTCTGCGTCCAAAGCCGCAACACACACACACACACACACACACACACACACACACACACACACATCCCTTTCAAAGAATTCGCACGCTTTACCAACCAAACAAACCTGCCCTACGGGGGCCGATTACGATTTCATTTACAGGGCACGCGCTCTCCGGTTGCAGGCAAGGCGTACTGCGGATTGTCCGCTGTTTCTGACTTCCCCCGACCTGTTTTCGTTCCACTATTTTGAGCTGCGGACAACGACACATATGCAATTTTCGCGGAATCCGGGCAATCGGGTCTCTTGGCCCTGAAGGCTCAGAGATGGTCCTGGTTCTGCGGTTCTGGGAAAGGCCTATTCTTGGGCTGTGCGCGGGTATTCAACGAGGAGGAAGATGAAGAAGATCAAGAAGGGAATGGGTAGGGTACGAGAGGAGGCGTCCGAAGCAGTGTCCACCCTCCCTTCCGTCAATAGCATGAACAACTGCGATCGCCATACGCAGTTCCGTTAGTTACAGATTAATAAGGTAACTAACAAAAAAAAGGACACTTCTTCGAGCGGGCTCCCGATCTATAGGTAGTAAGTAGTTCCTCGTAATGGTAGCAATACTAGGTACTCCTTGGGACGCAACATACAGCGCAGCTCCTTCAGTAGACGGGCGGGAGATACCTGCGGTTTGTTTCTAATGCCGATCCCACTGATATCTCCAGCGTCTCTTTCATCCTTACGGGCTGTCTTACTTGGGTAGGTTTTTGGTGGAGGCGACAGCCTTTCACGGGCGTGTGTATCGTAAAGGGCCAGTCTGGGGACTACCTAGGTATGTATAGTAGCCTGAAGGGAATAAATAGAGCCATTCGACCCACGGCGGCGATATGGCGAGTTGCAATTCAGTCGAGGTCGACGAGGTACTCGGTATGGCTCTCGTCGAAAGGACCAGCGTGACTTGTTTATGTATTATGCTGCTTTGGCCACCCTTCGCCGCGAAAGTCCAGAGAAAACCTTGGGAATCTACATCTGGTCTGGTCCCAGCTGGACGAATCCGTGGGCCCACGTCCAGAACAGTCTTGAGGAAGGAGAAGAGGCGAACAAATCAGATCCGAGTGACTGCCGTCGTTGCTTTAGTATTTCACTTTCCCACTCGCACGTCTCAGGTCGATTTGGCGGGTTTTCAGACTTCTCGTCCAAGAGGAGACTTGTGTTTCTTTCAAGGTTGCTGGGAGGACTCTGTGAAGACACTTCGAAGGACAACCACACCGATCAATCTGCCGGGCTCTCATACGACCCGAGCTACGAATCGGGCGTACTGGGTGGTTGTCCTTGTTTGGTCTGTATAGAGTGCACGTCCGCGTACGAGGTAGAAGCCACAATGCGGTCGTTGGTTTGTCGGCTGATGCTGTCGCTATCATCGCTTTCTCCACCGAACCCTCTCTTTGACTCATCTTCCAGTATCGCTCCACTGCCCTCTGACACGAGCGTACGCTGGCCATGGGTGTATGAACTCGTAATAGTGAAGGCGTCGCCCCTCGCCAACATTCTAGCAATATCTTAAGTCGGGGCGGAGGTGTACATGTTTCTTTGCACGCACGCGTGCTGGGGTCGTCATTATGGGAGAGAGAGTTTGCTGGAGTTGTCATGACCGGAGAGTGAGTCTGCTTATATACAAGCGAGCAAGCGAGCACACAAGCACCGAGAGGCGCCAAAGGCAATTAGAGTCTCACCTAGGCGTTTTTCGTGCCCCGGTCTATCAGGACAGGATTCCATCTTTGATACTCCCAGCGCCCTTCTTGACAAAAGATGTGAAGATGTTGAAGATGCCGCTGACCACAACATGACCAAAGCCTTGATCATGATAGCAGGAAGTGCTCAGACTGGTCACTTCTCCAGTTGTGAGGAGGGATAAAACCTGGTCTTGATTGATGTAGAGATCAATTGTTGTATCTCTCTGCAAAGTGTAAGATGCGGCCGACAGTAGTGCTACGATTGGCTAGGTGTATGCATTTCTCGTCCTCTTGCATGCCACTGTCGTCCCTTGGATCCACTCCCTTTTGGCGGATTGATAGTACCAGGACGTCCCCAGTCGCTGGCCAGCTTGTCATCGGCGTGTTCTGCGGCTTCGACCCTGTCTGAGTAGAAGGCGTACTCGCCTCTGGGCATATTGTACCAATGTTGTGGATGCCTTCGCTCATGGATAGCCATGATATAAAGATGACTGAATTTGCCGTTTACCGTTTGTCTTTAGACAATGTGGCAGGCACGGCGCTGGCTGAGAGGTTAGCCTTGGCACCTCAGTGGTTTCAGATAGCCGAGCGCTGGTCGCTCTGTAGTTAGTCATGCAGGCATTCTCGACGTCTTCTTTTGTGTCCCCACAGACGACCTCAAACATGCCGTCGCCGCGAACAAGGCAGCAATGGCGCGATGCCAAACTGGAGCAGGAGAAGCACGCTGTGAAAGTTGACACAAATGGAGATGAGGAGCGCCATCACACCGATGGGTTACCTGGACACCCTCCTGCCAGACACTCTCCCTCCCAGACACCCTCCTCGACAACACCCTCCCTCCCAGGCACCCTCCTCGACGACACCCTCCCTCCAAGACACCCTCCCTCCTAGACACCCTCCCTCCGCAGTCAAATTTCAATCTCCTTGGCCAACATATGATTTCTGCTGGCGAGGAGATCAAAAATGCACAAAACCTACCCGCAGTCACCGGCGGGGAAACAATCCTAGCCGAACTCCAGCGATCGATATCACTTCTTGGATGACGCCGTAAGCATCTTTCGAGTCAGCCTGTCGCCTCAAAGGGCTTCAAGAGTATCTGGATATATAACTTGTCGACGACAAAGGCCGAGCCAAGAGATCCATGATATTGAACAGTGTGATGTTGATGTCATTGGCGTTCTTCGTTGCAGGCGTCAGCCATAGTCTGCTAGGGATGCGGACACCCCTCTCAAGGAAGCAGATCGAGTTGTGATTGATCTTGCCGAGCGTGCACGGTGTTCTGGGCTCTTCGGAACTCTCGTATGCTGACAACTCGACCTTGAAAACTCGACAACCGTCAACGCGGCGGGCCGTGGCACCAACATTGTGGATTGATCTCACAGGTCATGAGCCAGTCAAGGGTCCTCTGTAAGGAATGCATCTGTCGCTCGGTACACCCAATGCGAATATGTGAGAACCTAGCCTACGTCGGGACTATCTGTCGCCCAGTCGCTAGTAGGTGGCTGGTCTCTCGGATGGTCAATTGATCTCAAAAAGTCGACAATCTGCTGCACGACTTTCTGGGCATCAGAGGGATAACAAAGAACGATATGAACGATATCCTCATAGGTTTCGTGGCCAAATGACCAGAACTTGATCTCATCCAAAGGAATGTCTAGAGCGAGCCTCTTCATCATCCAAGACGACGTTGTGATTGCCCTTCGGGATGGGTAGGACGCTGTCGTCGTCGTCGCTTTCCCCTAACTCCAACACCATGACAAACTGCGCATACTGTGGCTGCAGTCCACGCAGACGACGACGAGTTCAGTTGGAAGGGATTGCCGCCCACCACAATCACGGTGTTCTGGGCTCTGGCGGGCGAGAGCCGCCATGTTCTGAACTCCCAGCCCACCAATGCACGGTGTTCTGGGCTCTGCCGGGTATGTTGTCATGTTGCTGGTCCGAAATGTCTTTGTAAAAGTGTTGATGCCCAGTGAGCCTGCAAGTTGTCCAGCCCAGGTTGGCGTCACTCTGTACAAGACCAAACGTCACCGGCTTGTCTTCTCCAACTGAACTTATATATGTTCAAAGGTCCTTTCCTTGTTGAAGGCCGACATTCAAAGGTATGGTAAGGATTGTTGAGGTGAGAAGGAGTCCGCCATATATCCTTGACTCTTGAGCAACCAGAACGCAGTCGCCTCAATAGCAAGCTCATGAGGTGTTGGCGAGGGTGGTCAGGCAGGGAGCAATTTCTGTCCCTATCAGGTTGTGTTCATGTTCTGTCTCTAGCAGTGGGCATCCGCCACGCTGGCAACATCATGATGGAGGAGGAGGTGGTCTGGGAGAGCGAGGACCAGGCGTGGCCTCACTAGCAAGATCCCGAGAAGCTGAGGAGGAGGTGATGGCGACAACTCCTCTGGCTAATACCCTCATGGTTATGGTATCAGGCTCAGGGTCTATCACAGGGTGCTATCCTAGAGTTGAGGTTAGCAGACAGTGTTTGAACGCAGACTGTGGTTCAGTGCCGATGACAACCAAGGCTGTTGGGCAACGACGTACCTCGTACTCCCTCACGCAAGATTCGCGAAGGTCCAGGGACATGTAACGGCAGATTGTGCAAGGATGTCCTGGCCACACAACGAAGACCAGCTCCAAGCAACAAGAAATGGCATGGTGTCTGGTAAATACACAAGCGCCGACTGATGCAACCAGACGTCCAGGCAATATTCAATGTGATCTCGGCGTCCGCATGAGAAGTGCCGCCTTATGCTACCAGAGCTTGAAGCCGGACTGTCTAAAAGCAGCGATCACTGTGCTGGCCTGTGAAACTGAGGGCAACCTGGACAGCCTCGACAGCCTCGACAGCTCCTGCGCCGTCTACTCCTTGTAGAGTCGGATGCGGTCACTACTGATGATGTTCATGATGTGTCCTCTTTGTCAGGTACTAGTATCATGATTGCTCTCCATTGGTGTTGCCTTCAGGGTGTCCAATGTGGCACGTCTTCTCTCCCCCAAAACACCAACACGGGAAGTCGTCATCCTGTGCTTGATTGTTTGCGAGCAAACATCTGTCCGTGCCGATCGCCTCCTCCTCCTCCTCCTCCTCCGCGCAAGAAGATGCATATTGGAACCCTCTCTTGGATTATGCAGAAGCAGATACACACAAAAGGAATGACAAGTTGTCCAATACAAAAGCATTAGATTTACCCCCTCAACAATTCATTTCGGTGTGTACCTCGATTTCGCAATCGAGGTCACCTATGTACATGGATGGAAACAGAGTTAAGGCTCGGATAGCAACCTTCTAGTTGCCGATTCCCCTCCAATCTGTCCATTCTTTTCATAAGCCCCTACGCTAGTACAATACCTCCCGGCCGGACTGCCCAAACGATATTCTTGAGTGGGAACTTAAAGTAGGGTCACCTCGACACTGCCAAACTGAAAACGCTTGTGCAGAACTGGCATATCGTAACGTACCTAGTAGCTACGCATATCCCATGGAGAAGCAACTTCCCCTGGATCGACCGATCGATCGATCCATGTCTTGTCACGGAATCGAAATCGAAAATGCCTGTGGTTTTGTTTTTCCATGATACGGGCGAGTAATCCCTCACATTGGTAGGCACCCATAGGTAGGTCAAGTCATGACACACCACACCACGGGTGACCGCCCCAGGTGGGTGCCAGGGGCTGGCTAGATGAAAAGGTTAAACCTACCGGGAACTTCCCTGCTACTTAGACAAAAGTGAAGCTTGTTGGATCAAAAGCACGTTTGCTCATGGGTTGGCGAGAAACGAGGGAAGTCCACCACTCCAGTCTTGACGTCATCAAAGTGTCATGGACACCCTGAGGAAAGCAGGGTGAATACGAGGGGGAAAAGGGGGACAAATCACAAATCATTCTCAAGGAAATGGCGGTGTAAAGGGCAAGAAGAGGGTGTTGTTGGGAGGGCATTGCCGCCTGCAGGATCCCAGTTGGTGTTTGGGTCTCGTTCAGGAGAATGATAGGAGTTGGGTGTTGGGTGTTGGGTCACGTTCGCTGAGGAAGGGGGTTTGGGGGGATGTACTCGCTTTAGCCCTACAGGTACAGAGGGAGCGGAGTGGAAGGGCGGAAGGAATGCAATGCAATGCAATGCTATAGCACAGAGATTTTCACGGGCTCAGCCTCAGCAGCCTGGAATGGAAAAGAAAAAGAAACAGAGGAAACAAACGGTAGACAACAGTTAGCGAGTGCATAGTATTCATAAGGCCGTTATATAGAAAAGAGCAAGTAGGACAGAAAAAATCACAAGTCAATCAGTCATTTCATCCATCGCCGGCGAGGTCCAATCTGGTTTCCCTTTTCGCCCCATATCGGCATCCCAAAGATCGTTTTGAGAAAAGCTTCATAAAAACCTTGCTGAGCGCCGTGCGCGAGTCGTTATTATCGTAGTGAGCGTTTGTTTGTTTGTTTGTTTGCTTGTTGTTCATGAACAGAGAAGGTGTTGCAGGTGCATCATGTTCGTCGTTGACTTGGGGTCAGGCTGAAGTGTGGGTGGGATGGTGGGCTGAGGAGGAGGAGGAGGCGTGGGCTGCTGCTCCTGGACATGAATCTGACATGGATGATCCGAGGGCGGCGGACACCGAGACGGAGGCGGTCCACGCTTGTTGTCGTTGTTGGGCAGTGAAGAAGAAGAAGAAGAAGTCGTGTCTTTGTTGGCACGTTTGAGTTTGTCTCGCGTCGCATACATCCACGTCTTCCTGGCGGCGTAGACGCGCTGTTCGATACATGTCACCCTCAACTCGACTGGAGTTTTGGGCGGGAAGAAGACTCTATTGGACTCGCAGAGACGGAACACTTGTTGGACAATGACGGCCAGCTCCTTCAGGGGAATCCCTCCCCAGACGACATGGGGGTCGGCGTACGGAGAATCCGGGTTGTTGGCGAGATAACTGGAATGGGCTTGTCGAGCGAAAGTCGTGAGCATGTGGAAGTCGGCGTTGCTCATCCCCACCCTCTTCTGCACCTTGGAGGCCGAGTCCAGGAGCTTGATTTGGAGGGAGGAGGAGGGAGTCATCCTAGAGTCGTTTATTAATTGGGAAGTGGTGGTGGCGGCGGTTGCTTGGACTTGGATGATCGGCCATGCGAGGACATAAAGGGCCGGAGGGATGGGAGGGAAAGTTTCTGGTGCAGAGACGGGATGGACAGTTTGTGATGTAAGAGACCCCGACGACCGCTGCCCTGCAGGGCACGTCCCAGGCTCCGTCCAGAGGAGGGCTTCTCACTTTGTTTGTCACTGCTGCTCCGTGGTGTCTCCTCCTCCTCCGCTGGTGGGGGGCAGACCTGAGGGAAAGTGGCGTCCCAGTACCGGTTCCATTGGGCCACGTCGCTCACCTGAGCGTCTGGCAGGTTGGCCATGGCCGGGGTCAGGCTCTGGGCGAAGTTCTGCAGCCCGTACCGCGCCTGCAGGTTGTTGAGCCCGAGGAAGAAATTGTCTCGTATCTCAGCCTCAAAGGGGAAGCCGGGATGTGGAATCTCCAGCTGGGTTTCAAAGGGCGGAGTGAGAAGCACAACGACAACCAGGACCACAGCGAGGACGGGGCTCTGGACCGTGGGAAGTTGCTGCATCGCCGCCACTTGCAGATGGTCCAGTTCTCCCGTGACGGCGAGGGTCTTGACGGTCTGGGGCCACGCGTAGTCCTGGCTCAGAGCGAGCACCACCGTGAATCTGGTGTCGAGAGCGGGCTCTCCGATCCGCTGCTCAAGGGTGGTCATGCGGCGATGGAGGCCCGCCACGCCCAAGATGCTGCGTGGAAGCGGATCCCGGCACCTAGGCAGCTTCTTGTAGTCCAGGGCATTCCGGAGGCAGTGTTGCATGGCGAGAACCTTCTCCTTGGGCGTGGGCAGGCCAATCAGGGTCATGGTTTCGGCAATTTTCCAGGAGCTGTTGAAGGTGCCGGTGGTGGCCGAGATCCGTGCGGAGGGGAGCAGGGTGTAGATGAGCCGGTCTAGGTTCTTGGGCACCCTCGGCAGTGGCATGGTCATCTGGTAGGATGCCCGGTTGATCCAGGTGAGCCAGGGGACGATCTCGTTGTCCGCGCACAGGAGGCTGCGGATGTTGTCGGCCGTCCATCTGATGTAGAAGGCATCGAACGGATCAACCAGACTGAGAATCAGGATCGCCAGCTTCCTGATGAAGGTTTCATTGACGTCCACCGGCGGAATGGTCCATGATTCTGGTCGCGGGCCTGTGCGCCGGGCAGCAGACCCTGGGGAGAGAAGTGGTACAGTGATTGTGACTGCGGCCATTGTGGACAAGCGAAACGCAGCAAAGATGGTGAGACAAAGGATGGAGGAACATGTCCAACCCAGGAGGGGTCTAGCCAGAATTCATATACCACCCGCATCGTGGAAAATGAGAGGCGAGGAGGACGAAGGAGCTTGCGGTCAAGATGCACCCCATGGCCAAAGGCAAACAGTACGGATGTGCCAGAATGGCAGACCAGATAGCAACAGTCAAATCAGACAGCTTCGGAGGACAAGTTGAAGCACAGAGCGGACATACAGTTTGCGCTGCCTGCATATTCCTGACAGCTTGGAAGGGGGTGGTGATGGTGGGCAGTGGTCGGCCTTGTGTGGCTCCCCCAAGACTGATTACGTCGAGATGTAAGGGATGAAGCAATAGTTGCAAGCCACGGGGCCAATCCGCTGGCTGCAAGCCGTATCTCTGTGCCCGGGTTGTAAGGAAGAAGTTGGCAAGGCCTGCATCTGTCAACTTGTTTCGCCTGTCACTGTCAGGATGGTAGGAAGTACGAGGCAAGAGGGTGGAGAGGATGGCGAGGTTGAGCAAACAAAAAACTTCGGGTACTGCGATCCGAACTTCTCTCTCCGCCTCCGGTGCGTCGCCAAGGGAGAATCCTATTGCACCAACCCCTCTCATTCTTTTACCGGCATACTTAGGCTGAAGTGCTCTTCCCACCCAGCTGACTCGAGCCCCAAGGTGACTGGTTGCAAGCCTTACAACCCCCAGCCAGAAGCTGGAGATCTCCAGCACGCCAGGCTCTGTATCAACTCAAGCGCCGATCCGCACCAGATTGGGCGCCGGGTCCGGATTGCGCAAGGGATCGGGCCTAGCACCTAGATTCGCCTTATCGCGGTGTCTCCAATGCCCTTGATTTGCTCAGCTGGCCAAGGTTCAGCCCATGCAGCGGGGATGGGAGGAATGCAGTGGTGCTAGAAAGGCACCAAAGGCTCCTGGTCGCCTACCCGGACTTCGGAAAGCTGTGGGCTGGAGATGAAGGCGAGATGATTGTCAACCCCAAGGCCTAATCGCCACTCTGGAAGTCAGTTCACCCTGGGACAAATAACTCAGGGAAAAGAGAAAAGAAACAGACCTCGCTGGCAATATAATATCCAAGTCTCAAAAGATGTCTCCCATCTCCTTCCCCAGCACACCCGTCAGTCCTCCAGACGAGGTTCCCCCTTCAACGCGGGGTATGATGGCTTGGGCAACTGGGAGCATGTGATACCCCGCCAACCCCCGCCGGCCCCCCTTACGTTTTCGTCCCTGTCGCCCTGGGTCTAGCCTCGTTGTGGAATGTGAAGTGGCGCTAGGCCAGAATAGGATAACGCTAAGCTGCAGCCTAGGCCAATCAGGGCCAGACTTGTCCCATCTTGTCGTGTCTTGGTGGAGCTTGGTGGAGCTTGGCCACCCCCGACTGGTATGTTGGTTCACCTGGTTCGCCTGATACCTAGCAGGTAGATAGCTGGCTCGCTGGGCACCCAGGCTGGTGAGCTGGCGATGGTGCACAGAGCCGAATTGCCTCTTCTCGGCCTCGATGTTGCTTGCTGGGTGCTTGCTAGATCTGCAGGAGACTGACCACCGCCGGAGCTGCATCAACACCACACCACGACGCGCCGGTCGCACAAGCCAGGGCCACATTCCCCCTCCGCTGCCTGCTAATGCACGTACCCAAGTAGGCAAGTCCGCAAGTACGCAGTAGTCGTGAGCACAGTTCCTAAGCACGTTTGACCACGAGATAAACCTGCACCTGCACATGCCCTTGACCTCTTCGCCGCCATCCCAAAGACCCCCCACGTGTTTCTCCTTCTCGCTTTAAACATGGCATTCGCGCTCTCGTAGGTGTCAATCTCCATCACTCACTGGAACTCCTGCGCATCAGACAAGACTCGATCTATATGGACGTGGGTAACTACTCACCCATCTCCTTTGACCTTCCCACGGCCAAAGACGGATATTTTGAGCCCTTCCCGTACATTGTTGCCCAAGACCAACAGCCTCCCCAGAGCTTCTATGCGAGCCCCCTTTCTGTTCGAGAATGGCCCGCCTCATCGCCAGTCTCGACTGAACCGATCATCGACAAAGTCGTCATGCGTGTGGTGCCCAAACTGCAAAATGGCTTCAGCATCCACCATGCAGACGTACAGGGTCCGATACAGTTTCAGGGTCCCCCTATGATTGATCAAGTGGTCATGCAGATCCCCCCCAGAAACCAACAAAGCGACCAGCCAGCCGGCTATGTCTTCAACCACAGCTTCGCTCCCAGACCAGAATGGCAGAGTCCAGTCGATCTGAGTCCTCCGGTCAATCCGACTCCTCTGTTCAATCCGAGCCCTCCGTTCAATCTGAGCCCTCCGGTCGGCGATCAAATGGACATGACGGCTGAACCCCAACCAGCGCCTCAGGATGCTGGTGAGAAGAGAAGGTCTTACTGCCCTACATGTGGGATGTCTTATGCGAGACGCGAGGACATGTTGCGTCATCTTCGAGCACGTCGGTGGCTCTCCTCTCCTTGCAGGCATTCAACTCACTGACAAGCAGCCAGACTCCAGAAACACCAAGTTCTCCTGTGGCTTTTGTCCCAAAACATTCAGGCGCAGGTAGGAGAGACCCTTGGATGGTCCCCTTGCAAGGCTGAAGTCGCTGATCGAGTCGTAGGGAAGTCTGGCGAGAGCACCAGGAGTGGTGTAGAAACCGGTCGCGGTCTTCGATGCCCAAGCGAGGAAAAATGGCGAGGTGCCTGGCGTGCGCGGAGCAGGACGTCGACTGTAGCCTGGGAACCCCATGCTTCAATTGCGCGACGTCGGGCGAAGAATGCACTAGGCGTGAGTTCCCTTTCGTTGGCTTCGTTCCGACATACCAAACATTGGAAGTCGCTTTCCAGGGCCCCCGCGGTCCTCAGCAGCGCCGTCGTTAACGCTGGTGTCACAGGTTTCGGTAATCCTCCAGGCGAAAACGCTTCTGATCCTGGGCGATCCTGGCCCACTTCGCCCGACGACATATTTCTTGGGTACGAACAAGCTAGCTTTCCGACAAGTGTGCTCTGGTCACCGCCGGCCGAATCATCCCGTGGACAGCCCCAGTCCAAGATCCAGAGTGCCATCTTCCAGAACTATACGCGCCGTTTTGAGAGCCCTATGAAATGGTGGATTGCCAGGTTGAGTTCGCTCCCTCACACCGACCCCACCAATTCGCCCCGAGAAGTTAGGTTGGTGCCTTCTTTGATGGAGATGGCTCAGAAGCTGGACGGGGATTTGATGTCCTGGCACCAGGAGAGTGCCTGGCGCGTGTTGAAGACGGCAATTGCAGCATTCGGCAGTCAGGGGATTGACCCTGGGTCCAACCGGTGGCAGCCGAAATATGGATTCGACAATGGATGTCGTCCCGAGTTCTGGACCAAGGCCAAAGCATCTATCGACAACAGCCCCGACGTCCTCTCGTTTCAGGTCATTCTTGCACACTTCATCGTTGGGATGATCCATTTCCCAGCGTCCGAGTACGACGAGAGTTTTGCGGCCGAGGCGCCGTCGGGGATATCCTTTCCGCGTCAGGACAGCCGCAAAGTAGGCAACAGATTCATCAGGCGCGGTATATCCGATCTCTTTCAGTTGATACGACAGGTGAGAGACGGTCCAGCCACGGGGTTCACCGCCACCCCCCTAGGTCAACGATACCTGAAATCCATCTTCAGTCTTGGCCTTTTTCTCGACACCATCTCGTCGGCGGTTGATGGTCGTCCGGTGTTGATACACGATGAAGACTGTGCAATCATACTCGGCGAACCGACACAGGGACCATCGGCCGAGCAGACCTCCGGGCTATGGCATCTTTCGCGCCTGCAAATCAAAGTCAAAGTTGTCAAAACGGATGATGGTAGACAGCACATAGATTGCCATTCTCGCCTGGGGGAAGAAGGCGCCCCCATCACAGTCTTGCTCTTTCGCAAGGTCACGCAGCTGCAAGCTCTCCTCTTCCGGCGACGGCCGCAGTCCGAGCTCGAGGCATCCATCCTCGAGGCCATCGACGTATACAATCACGGGAACAAGCGGTATGGCGGGTTGTCATCTGATCCGCTCAGTGTCTGCGATTCCTCGTGCACGATCAACCTGGGGATCCGATGGCATCTGGCCTGTCTCCTGCTGGCAGTCGTGATCGAGCGTATCGAGCGCGTTATGAAGCCATCGGCGTTCTCGGAAAAGCTTCGCAGTCATCTCTGGAACTTGAGAATGAAAGCCGTCTTCATAATCTCAGGCCTCGCAAACCTCTCGATCCCCGGACCCGGATCAGAGCACGCATCAGTACTGGTTGCTGAGAAGGTCGCCGAAGCATTCTTGGACGATCCATGGATCCAACTCCTCATTAACGCTATGCAGCAGGCCTTGAAGGTTTCCGAGACTTGGAGGAAAGAGGGATACACTGTCAGGACCCCACACATGATCAATGCGCTCTCGCCAAGCGAGATCAGTTGTCTGGATTGCATCAAGCGTCTCGGAGCGCAACGGCCATGCGAGTGACAGCCGACATCTTCCTATGTGCAGAGGGGACCCTCTCCTGAAGCATTTCCCACGACAAGAAGGCTCTACCACCCCCTGTCATGTCGGAGGTAGCCCACACCTGGACAGAACCTGGACAGGAAGAACGCTCTCGGCTGTCGTGGCCACTGTACTTGTAGTATCGAAAGCTGCGCCTCTGCAATTGCTTTTGTCCACAGCTATACCATGTATTATACGGATGCGGAGATGACGGAAACCCCGGAGTCAATGGAACAGCTTGCCGGGCGGTCGGTGGGGGCGTTTTCTGTCTCTGTTTTGAGCTGGCCGAGGTCGCAGGCATGGGAAGGTGCACACGTTCGTGCGATCCGTGGGATCCGTGGGGTTCGTTGGGTTCGTCGCCTGGCGTCTTCTCGTTTGTTTGTCGACGCTGCATGTACCATTACAATGCGATTGATCCTGCTGTCAAGCAGTTTGCCAGAGTCTGTGCCATCGATCTTGTGTAACCTCTCCCTGATCTATCAGCGCAGCGGTTCTTGGTTATCAGTACCTAGGTATCACCACAGACAAACCCAGTTTCACTCGTGGTTCTGCCGTGAGCGTCACACGCTGGCAGCGAGCTCCTCGGTCTTGCGGCTGCTCCTGGTCGCCTTGGTTCCCTGCTGTGGGGAGATGATGAACGCGTTAAAGGCATACCGCATTCCCGGCACTGGGGCTGCTGCTGTACACTCAGCCACGGGGGAGCCAAGGTCGGCATTAGACTTCAAGAAAGAGAGGCAGAAGCTCTGAAAAGAATCCACGACTGCAATGAGAGGGAGCGGCGAGTTGTGGTGAAGCTGCCTTGGCTGCCATTGTCCCGCAGCATCCTGGAACAATGTCGGCCCGCCGATCCGTTGCCAAGGGCGGTAGGCGGCGGGCGGCGGGCAGCGGGAACTGTGCATGTCATACAAGGTACGAGGTACTTCTCAGCTGGTTTGGATAACTCCAGTTTCCCACATCGTTTGGAAATCTGGCTGCCGAGAAAGATGCTCAGCTTGAGAAGCATGTTTGAGTTAAGACGAAGCGACGTGGGGAAAGGCGCATAAACTGGGCAGTGCGGGCAACCCGGGCAATGCCAGCAGCAGGAACTTCTCCTGGGAAAGAGCATTCCTGGACATACTGTGCTGGAAGCATGCATGTAGACAGTTCAAAAGCTCTCTGTCAGCCATTGTCCACAGTACAACTTTGAGTTCATTCAGCATTTTTGCACCTCGCTATGTCTGGCGCCGCGACCTCCGACACCCCTATCCCCCAACTCACTGTCATCAAGGTGAGGATGGTTGCCCATACAATAATGGGCGCTGTCGTCCCTGGGGCCCAATTGAGCCAAGATCCCTGGTCCATTTACCTCCTAACCCCGGGTGGTGGCTCTGTGAGGCTGAACATGGAGTGGGTGCTTGGGACGGTGGAGGACAAGGGCACTTTCACCGTCAAAAGGCATTTGTATGCACATTCGAACAGTGAGGTCAGAGTATTTGAATATGATGTCCTCCCCAACACCAAAGTCGAGACTTTCTTGCAGATCGTGCGCGAAAAGAAGAGGCACAACTACAAAATGACTCCCACCGGCGTTGGTTGCCGCTTTTCGGTGTAAGTGTGCTGCGCTATAACTTCATACCACGGCTGACACTGACACAGATTGACCGTTTTGCAAGACTGGACGCAAGCAGGGTTAATCACAACCACTAACGCCGTGCATCATATCACCTTCGTCATAGGTTTCAACTATTCGAAAGGCCAGACGCCCATAAAACTCGACATAAAGGAAGGCGAATGGCTTTAGATCGCCGAGGTATTGTCAGAAACGCTCGGATCAATGAAAGCGGCCATGATAAGATCCGTCTCGTCATCTTGATGTTTACTATATCAAATTAGCGTATGATCCTTTTCTCTGGTTGTGTTGAGAAAGAATGAAGAGGGTGGGAAAGGAGGGAGGTGGTCGTGGTAGCTTGCGAAATGTGAATTGTACCGATAGACTAGAGTCAGATTCTCGACTTCCAACTGGCGTCGGCTCGAGTCTCTGCACTAAGGCCGGACCAAATTGTGTTCCTAGAACAGTCCGTGTAAACTCGATCGCCCATAGCTCAAATTAGCGTGGAAAAAAGCCCGCAGTGGCCCAGTCAAGCAGACATAATCTGCCCCACAGATCGACCATGAAGTTGCGCGGCGCCACGTCCATATGGCAAAAGCAAAGATCATCCTCGCGAATATGAGCTTCCCTTCCGAAGAAGGATAACCTGTCGTTTAGATAAGCTTCTAGCTCTTGGACGTGCTGAAAGGCAGTTCCGGAGCCACTCTCCGACCATAGGGAGTGGTGTGCTTCTCCCCCAGCGACAGGGCCCGGACACTTGCTCGATATCGAGTTGATCGCGTTCACAGCCGCGGCGACGCGCATAAGCATTCCAGGTTGCTCCCAGCCCACCTGCTCAAGGGTCACTCCCTCGATATACTCCATTACGAGGTATCCTGTCTTCCAAAACAGCCCATCCGCTCTCTCGAAGAAGCCATACACCCATGGAATGCGCGAAACGTCTCGATCGAACGCAATTTGCTGCGCACTTGCCTCTTGTAGTGTCACACCGAGTCCGAACTTCACAACAACACCGTCTGACACTCGTATGACTTTGCGACCAGTGGACTCGTGGCTTAGCAACGGCAGCTGGAGAAGTTCGTATTGTTGACAGAGACGCACAACATCGTCGTCATTGTAAGGTAAAGAAACCATGGGCGGAGGTGACTTTGAGCTATGAGTTGGACGGCTTGAATGTCAGGCCTTGGGACACAGGGGAGACAAAGGGTAGGCCAGATACTAGTACCTCGTACGTTGGCAAAAGGTCCTGGCGCAAGATACTGTACATTGTAAATTGACTTGGCGGCTAGATCCACTCCGTGTCCCATCACCACGAAGTGATCATAGCGATGTGTTTATGATCTACCAGAGCTCAGAACTGAGCTAGGCTTAAGTTGGATTCCTTCTTCAAACCTTGTCCGGTCAAGTACCGTGTTAAATGGCCAGTTTGGTCAACCGGTGAGCAACAGCAACAACCGTGTAACGGGGTCGATCGACGACAAATAATCTGCTATGCACAGACTCATCGAGAGGCAGGAATTCTTGGTCGAAACGATGCCATCGGCTTCGGCGATGGAAGAGCGAGGACGTACCGTGCTCGAGCATACGAGCGACATATGCCCCCGAGGCTCTCTTTCCGGAAAGGTTATAGAGAGGTATCTCATTCCAGTGATTCAACAAACTGGAATTCCGTCCAACCAACCATCTACCTTCAAGCGGACGTAGTGTCCGAGTGCGGTAGATCCGTTTTCCTTTATACTCACCTCTTCCATATCTTGAATGATTTGAGTAATATACTTCCCAACTCCACTAAGATGGAGGATTCGCGCGATGGCATGATGAATAGCCAGAAGTCGAGGAGAGGGTGGATCGATGGTCTTAGTTAGAGTAGTATAGAGTTGGCGGTTGATTGGGAGTAAAGGATCACGAAAAGGTCGATCAGGGTCAATATAGTCGATCTTGTAGGTATCGATTGATGGTTGAAATGATACCGTAAAATCCCCAAATTCTCGATGCCAATGATGCGTCAGGGTGATAGCATTGGTCGATCTATCAATATCGGGTCCCTCAATGAGGTGACCAGCATCAGGATCGAACATTTTCAATATCTGAAGAGCCACTCTTTTTGATTCACTCTTAACTATTTCGTCAATAAAAACCACGAAATAATAGAGTGAGATATATACTAATTGTAAATCCCCAACACCACCTGAGAGTGACGTGAGAGAGTGAGGAAGTATATGTGCAACTTCCAAATATTCAGGTGTTTCATCCTTAAGCGGGAGTCCATCATCGTCCTTGGAATTGCTACCATCTCTTTCCCAGCGTGCGTTTGCTTCAGTGAGATCGAACTTGCGGGAAATCACGCATCGATAGCGATCGCGAGTAAGACATTGCTGCCGTAGACGTACAAGTCGTTGTGTGGTGCCAATGACGTGGTCGGGGGTCTGGGGTAGACTAAGAGAGGTAGGGGTAGGTGGAGGGGACTTCCGGCCAGATGCTTTGACTGGATCCACGTTAGCTTTTGGAGATCATGTACGGATAGTACGTGTGTGCAATACGTGGCAGGAAGAAGTTATTCACAAGGTGGTCTGAGAAGTTGGCGAGGGTTTCCTGGAGCTCATCCGATTGTTCACGGCTCCAAGCATGCAGGCTGTCAAACCGAGACAAAATTTCAGAAAAGTCTGACGATGGAGCGTCCTGTCCATGTCCAAGGTCTGCATCAATGAACAAGAAGAAGTGGTTAAGAAAGCTGTCTTTGGAAACAACCGATTCATGGACGGTTCGGAGGAGAGTAATATATTTGTAGGCTGTACGCTCAGCCTGGAAGGGCTCGTATCGAGACACGAGTTGGTCGAAGATGGCGGTTGCCTGACTATATTGGTCAGGATTTAGAACGGTAGAGGAGGAGAAGTCTAGGAAACTCTGCAAGGATGACTGGTGTCTATGAAGGGGTGTCGCCATGATGTTTTGGAAAACAACAAAGGGTCGAAGTGATGAAGAACGCGACGGCGCGACTTGAGGGGCAAAAGCCGCAGGCTGTGAAATCACGTGAAATGAATACCACCCGTGACCAATGAGTGGCTTCACAGAGTGAGGTAAATCACGTGCATTCACCCGCCCTCTGTTCCAAGGTTGAGATTGCATCTCGCCGCTCACACAGTCGTGGCTTCGTGAGGGGAGTATATAGTATGCATTGGATAAAAGGCCAATACCCTCTGTGCTCTGGCGCCCTGTCAATCATTTCCCACCGCTTTGGCAACAGTGGAAACCTATCTTGGTCGTCTCTCATCTGTGCAAGAGCAGTCCTTGAGGAGTGGTCCGCCCAACGAAACTCTGGCCCTCCTTATTTCTCATGATATTTCGTACTACGATAGGACCGTTACCTCCAACGAACCATGTCTACGCCCACCTTCTCCGTGCCTCCGCCTGCTCCTACCCCTGGAGATATAGCTGAATGCCTGGAGGAAATGCTGCAACGCAAGCAACAAGAGACCCCCGAACCCAATTTTCAAAAGAAAGACGTCACCCAATCCTACGATTATCTCTGCGAAATAGAATGTCAAAAGTTCACCACAGAAGAAGTTGATGAGATTCGAGCGAAAATCCCTGACGCTGTTTATCGGGAATGTGATGCCCGACAGTATTCGAAGCTGCTGGCCGAGAAAATTTCGCAAAATCTCCTCAGCAACATTGCGCAGAAGCGGTACCAGACGCATGCGTGTGGCGGGCCGTTGCAATGGCCTCCAACGCTGCTTGAAAAGGCAGGGATACACCTCGAAGCAAGTGTGGGAAGCTCGTCTCTCGTTCGAGGATCAGAGATACTGGGAACCCGAGGCACGTCTTCTTCGACAGCTTTCGCCTCTTAATGAATACCGAATGCAGGAGCAATCCTTGGCACGGAGGGCAACCGGTCATGGGATCCCAAGCCCGGCAGTAGACGAGAAAGAGGGGACCATGGGGGTATGAGTAGGTCTGCAACGTTCCCGAAGGTCAAGGAATTGCACTCGCAAAAGATCTTCGCCGCGAAGGTACCACACTTTAAAGCCTCCGATCTCCCGAGAGTGAGTCGGAAACGTTGAGAGTCATTGGTGGAAGAGTTCAGGAAAGTCTCCGGTCTGCGGCGTGTCGGTGAGTCGCGTGCCTACGTCTATGTCTATACTGATAACAGTCCGAACCTCATATGGTACGGGCGATCGAAGTCCTGACAGGGACGCAAGTGGATGATCCGCCTTGGTTGGTCATGGAGTGGATCAATGATGATCTTGGCACAATCACTCTCGATGATCGCGATATCCCTACCTTAATGACTCACCTCACCAAAGGGCTCACATACATGCACGCGAAGCGGGACACTCACCGAGACGCGAAAACCGAGAACGTTCTTGTCCTTCGAAATGGTCAATGGTCGGAGGTTAATCACTGCCAAGATCGCTGACCTGGGTACGACGAAATATGACCTCTCTGGAAATATGCAAACCTATACCGGGTCAGGTGTTTACGTGGCCTCTGAATTCTGGGAGCCTAAACTACATCACACCAATGCTGTTGATATATGGTCTTTTGGCATTATCATGCTCGAACTGCTTACACATCAGGGAACGCGATTGAAGGGATGGGATGCTCGGTTACCGCCAAGCCCAGGATGTGCACCGGAACTGGATACGTCAGAACCTGCAGCCGCTTATAGAACGCTCATCAAAGGATTTCAGAGCCCTATTAAAGGGTTCGTTGTCAGAGACACCCGCTCACAGGTGGACGGCAGGTCAAATCGAAAAGTGGCTGAAGGAAAACGTCCAGGCAGACGCTGGCACCAGCAGAAAGCGCGGAGCATCTTCACTAAGGGAGATGGGTGATGACGAGGAAGACAGGAGCTTGCGGGGCGACTACACCGCTGTATCGAAGCCTTGCGCCAACCATGGTGCCTCGCCTACCAGCGGCCTTCCGGACACAGTCCTCTTGGACTTACCGAGCCCGGGCATGAAGACTCCAGTTGCAAGGGTATAGTTGGACACACCGGTATGAATGACATTAGCCTCAGAATGTAAGAAGTCAAGAGCGTGGAAGATATGAATCAGGGGTGAGTTTCCAAAGGTCTGCCCGGAAACTTCGGCGCACGGGCTCTTGCTCTCGCTCTCGCTCTCGCTGTCAGTCCTGCCAGGCTCATCCCGAGATGCTGCATTGCTCGCCCTTGGGTGTAACGATGTCGAAGCTATCGAAGTATCACTCTCAATATTAGTCTGGACAATCCAAAGGCGCAGTCGACCCCAAGGCAATGGCGGCCGCTGCGGTTTCTTGCCTGAGCTCGGTCCGCCAATCAGAATGCTCTGTTTGCGGAAAACTCGGGCGGATTATTCATTGTCCGCTACCGACTCGCCGACTCGCCGAGTACTTCAAAAATCTCCTTGTTGGGGAAATCGTCTCATCTCATTTTCACGGCGTCAGCTGCTATATCCAAGTATGCGACCTGAGAGTGTAGGCTCTCTATCTGTTGGTGGAGAAGGAAGAATGGAAATGCCTACCTTCACCGCACAACCATCACCAGTGGGAGGTGGCGAGGCTGCTACACTATGGTCGATACTTCTTCCTTGCTCAGGAGGTACAACACCCTGCCTCTCTGCTCTCACTAGCATCAGGCATGCTTTGACGGCCTTTACGGGGCACACGCTGATGATAATCCTCAAAGACGTCGACAAGGCTAAACCTTGGACAGCTGATAAACTCCGCGGCATGTCTTCGGAAGAGGACAGGACCGGAGATGAAAGCACCTTCTGCCGGAGACTCTTGTTCACCTATATCACAGTCTCTCGTTTGCCCGCTACCCAAGTGCATGTAGAGATAATGCACCACGAGAATTCCGAGGCTTGCTTTGCGTTGAATCCTCTGCCGCTGAGCAGATGGTGATCCGGTTCCGATCCACAAGGCTGCTTCACCAGGGCACTTGTGCTCTTCCTTCGCGCCGCGCTACACTGTGGCTCTCCCAGTGTTCCAATCTCTCCAATCCCGATGCCATTCATTGCTCGGACATCCCCTCGTGCCCCTGCCCAGCAAGTCGAGGGATTTTGGACACTCAAGGAGCACAGGAGCCAGAGAGCTGGGCGCATGTGCTGGGCCGTTCCTCAACCGTCGGCTGACGATTTGCAGCACTACCGGCCCTTGCAGCGAACATGTGCGAGGGTCTTCAAGCATCGACTATCGACGGTCTCTAAGCCTGGTCGGTTCTGACGCACGATATGACCGGAGATTGTCGCATTTGCGTGCAGGCTCTTGTCCGTGCGGCTTCGACCCTGCTGGGAACGAACAATCACCGTCACTCTCCAACTCGGTGCGTGAATGGCAACTCCACAGAGGGAAAATAGAATGCAGCAGCACAGATGAGAGGATGTAGCGACGGACAGGGCCTGAATGACGCCCTTCATCGGGACAGCTAGTTGTGACGGAGCAGCTGGTTTCGCCCTCGAACCGCTCCGCCCTTTATCCCTCCCAACGAGCCCAAAATTGCGGTACTTCCATCCTCGAGCTCAGGGCCATTCGATGAATGCATTTGATCGGTGCGCCGTCCACGGAATCCAGGACGAACCCGCCAGGGCGCTGGGCACTTCGGGCAACCAGGAAGCCACAGGGCCACCCGGTCCACCCACCAAACAGCCCCAAAGCTCATGACTCACATATCAGGGCATCTCTGTTCATCCGCCCAATCATGTTGCCATCAATCAGGACAGGTTTTGCCTTCGTTTCACTGATGGCACTGTGCACGGTGGCCGGGGTCAACTGGCCGAAATCGCAGTCGACCAGTTGACCCCCCGAAAATCGGCGACGAGAAACCTCGCGATTCTGGCTCTGCGCATGCGGCATCGTCAAGAGCATCGTGGGAAACGCATGGTGCGATGCTTTGGAATCTCGCTCGACGACGGTTGCTGAGCCCAGGCGGGTTCTTTTCGTCCGGCATGTGCGGCTCGCCCAGCAGAGCCGCACACGACCAGGTACCCTCCGCCGGGCGGGGGATCCAGGAAGCGCACTGCTGCATACCGGATACGGATGGCAGGAGAAACCGGCACTGGGGCACGCAGAGCAGGCGGCGGGGAAACCTGACCGGACGGGATTCGAGAAAAGCCCCCCTGTTCATGGGGGACTGTTGCAGGCGCCGTTGGCGGGGCCAGCAGGACCACGAGGGGGATCCTCTGTGTCCCGATCGCGAACGAGAGCTTTCCGGGCAGTTGGTGACGAACAAAGGTACACAAGAGCACGGATCTCGGTCAGGATACCTCTGGCACAGACGAAAGCGCGTGTGTCGCGGATGGTCTGGGGCTTGAAGCAAACTCGGTGCGCGGGTGAGAGACGAGAGAGAGAGAGAGAGAGAGAGAGAGAGAGAGAGAGAGAGAGAGAGAGAGAGAGATCTACCTCAGAGGAGAAGCAAGAAAGTACTACGCTGCAGCATGTGCTATGGATCTACTGTCGGAGAGATTCGCGCCATCCGCCGGCGCAGGGAGTCTGGGCATAATGCCAGCTATCTGAGGTTCCCGTCGTCAAGAAGCCATCCAGTCCTCAACTGCAACCAAGGATGGCTCGCCGGCCGAGGTTTGCAGCGACCCACACAGTTTCCCCGTGCTCATTGTAACTATTTCAACATGATCATTGGAGAGAAAGGACAGGAAAGCAAGGAAGAGTCTCTCCCAGAGGTCATCGATTGCCTCGCCTTGCCAGGATCGGACGCCGTCCGGAGATCAACAGGCGGCGAGCATACTTACCCGCTAGGAAAAACTACAATGCCTCTCAGATGGATATCACGAACGCCTGGCAGTGCGATCAAGTTCTTGATCGTTGACTCCGAGTTGACTGGCAATGACTCCCGCTGCATCAAGTATCTGTTTGCGCTAGTCATGGGCGAGTCTTTTGTGATGTTCGAGAGATGTCTAAGGTCTCAAAACGCAGCTGACTGAGAGGCATTGCCATGAGCCTGTCCCGCCGTTCAAACGAAGACGGTTGTGTGCGGAAACATCCGTAACGGCGAGACGTTCGTGGTGTGTGTTAGAGGACATATGCCGTGGGCTATACGGTGACCCAGGCCCTTTCTGTCCAACACGGTCCAGACAAGGAAAAGGCCTTCTCGCTGTATCACCGGCATCAGGCGCCTCTCAAGATAGAGGGCCTGAAGACCATCAAACCTGGAGGACAGCCCTGAAGGTAATAGCCTCTCGATACCGCCGTCCGCCCTTGACGATAACCCTGTGCATGATTCTGGTGGCCTCCTCTGACTTTGACGTGCTTGCCGCGGGTTTCCTACCAGCGTATATCGGACTCGAGAACAGATCGAGATCAATCGATATGAATGGAGGAATACCGGCTAGCTTCGTGTATATATCCAAGGCGTCCGTTCAAACACTCAAGGCACGATATGCTGGACTTGAGCGGACGTGAACAACGATGAGGGAAGTCGGCACGGGGGGAAGCGCAAACGAGAGTTTGGAGTATCTGCCAAAAAGTGCAACTGCGCACGATATGGTTGGTTGATCGCAGGAGGTTGCCGTTTGATTTGTATTTCTTCTCAGCGAGTGCTCGTTCCCCACGTACGAGGAGGTCGTCGTCGGCTTGATAGTGAATGGCACCCCGGCTTCTAAACCCGACCAGCGGACCGAGTTGCCCAAAAAGCTGGATTCCTGCAATGGAGATCTTCAGGGTGCGCACTCGAGACACCTTGTTGGTCCTTGCCTGGAAAGAGCTTGCCTTTTCAAGGACTAGAAACATACCGACTCCATTTGTACTCGTGGTATCCAACATCTCGACATTCTTCTTTTCCTTGCTCCCTTAAACGATCGTTATCGTCATCGTACGATGTTTCTGCTCCAGTAGAGCGCCCGAGCCCGTATTCTAAGTCCACAAAAACCATCCCAATGGGGCGGTACTTGCTAACCGTGTCCCTGCATATAGCCAGGGCAAGATACCAACCAGTCTTTGGATCCAATGCGAGCTAGCCTCATGAAATGCACCGAGCTGTTTTCATACTGCTCGGCATCGGCGACGTCTGGTTCAAGGGATCTGGGGGATGGCGTCACCGTTCACTCGCATGGCCCAAGGGAATGAGATAGTATTGCCTTGAGGGTTCCGACCGCTGCTTACCCACATAGGTCGTGGATGGACCACTGTGCCATGGATTTCAGACCGGGACAAAGACCAAAGTCGCAGCTGAGAGCTCACCCGTAGTCCCGAATCCCACGTGCGCACACCATGTCTCCACAACTTTGGCGTAGATTGTATTGTTGTAGATAGACAATAGGTCCCAAAAGTGACGCCCAAGTTCTCCATTTGGGAATGACTTTCCTCTGTTCCCTGTAAGTGTGAGTGGTTGTCCATAGCAGTCCCTCAATCAGCCATCAACGCCAAAGCTCAGCCACATATTCATCATCCAGCATCTTTGAAAAGCGATTTGCAAGCCCGGATGATGCTGGGTAAACGTCGCTTTCGTACGAGAGATTGCCCCTCAGCGATGTGTACTTTTTAACAAGTCGAAACCATAGCTGGTGCAGCTGCCGGGATGAGCAGTTTCTGTCTTTCGACAAGACCGAGTTAGGGACCCCGGTTCTGTCCCCTGTCTTCTGGTTTCCTCGCACTCACACTTTCTGTCGAAACGACCTTCCCAAGCTCACTCTTCAGGATCAAAATACAGCACCCAAGGAGACAAGAGTAGCTCTCGGAGTACCGAAAGCCTGCCAAGTAGCTTGTAATCGCTGCATGGGTAGATAAAGTCGTGTGAAGGACGACATGGACCGGTAGGGTTGTTGAAGGTAAAAGCAGACGCCTTGGACTCCTGGAATCCCTATCTTGCGGGCTGAAATCCACTGCTTTTGATAAGATGTCCTTTCCTGAATAAACAGTCCTCGGGGCTTTCTGCCTTGGTTGCAGCAATGGTGAGGAAGGCAGTATCAAAATGGAACCCGTGGTAGCACAAGCTCTGTGGAGCTCCAGAAACCATAACCGGTGCCATAAGAGATCAGGGAGAGTCTTGAATCTCGCTCGGTCTCCCAGGATATTCCGCAGGCCTCCAGACAGCCAACGGAGTCATCGGCATCTTGTGCTGTGCCTTCAAAATGGTGCACCTGTAGACTTGCACTAGTCAAGCATGTTTTGAGAGCGAAGAGGATCAGGCTGTATTGCTGGCATCGCTGGCATTGATCGCGGCAATTCTGGTCACAGGAAAATGATCGACGTCTTGGTTCACTGGATACGGGTGGTCGCCACTTTCGAATCCCGCACCAGAAGCCTCATGCAAGCGACACCCTTGGCGTGACTTCATATTGGTTTGACTGACGGCATTCGAATGAGAATGCAAGGCATGGTAGTTGGCAGCGGCCTCCAGCTGAAGCTGAGTTGGAAATCGGCGTGGAGAAGGTTGACACGTTACTAGTTATCACGTGACTTCTTGGCACCAAATCCTGGCAACTGCGCGCCCTGCCGTGCATATCGTATGGATACCTACCTGGTAGGTACCTGGCTCGCTGGCTCGCTGGGTATTCATCGTTTCACCCCTCGCACCTCACGAATCACCACACTCTGGTTTTCATGGCCACGGATTTCGAGCTCCGATTTTGGCGGGGAACCCTCCATGGCGTACCTCCCTGAGGGAACCGAAAGATGCCCTCTTGCCGTGCGCTCCCAGGAGAGTGACGCGTTTAGGTCGGAGCTATCGAGCAGAGGAGAAGGAGTATCCGCCCACGCCTCAGACATGGAGGGAGTTTAGGGATCCGAAACTGAGACGCTATTTCAACGTATCAAAATGTGCGCCTAGAGGAACTTCTGGATGATCATGGAATGGAAGGGTTTGTTTTCAAAGCAACCGCCGACAGATGTGGGCCGTTTGTGTTGAAAGTGGTGCGTGTCCCTCCTTTTTTTTGGGCGAACAGGCTGACATGGTTGGAGTTCGTAGGTTCGAACAAGTTCACCGACTCCCTAAGCCTTACTTCTGGCCTTTTCTCAGAGAATGCCTATATTATTCAAGAGCAGCAGCTGTGAATGCAGGTGTGATGAGTGGCAAACCGCTCCCCCGACTAGCGCCTTGGGGCAATGATCTCTGGCAGTACTGGTATTGAAAAAGAGGGAAAGGAACTTTGGAGAACGAAAGAACCTGGCACTGCCTGGTCACTAGACAGCCCTTCACCACAAAGGCTGCAGCTATCTAGCCGGGTAGGCCCCTGCGAACCATGTCAAGTACTCCGTACGAGGCAGCACATTCAGCCTGACAACACAAATAGTCAGTCAATCAGTCACTCAGTCCCCTTCGCACCCCAAAAAACACCCTCGACGCCCTTTTCCATCTTCCTCACCCAACTATCCAGCTACCTGCGTCTCAACAAAAAGCAAAACGAACCACGAAATCATCCGCCGCTACAGGTGCGTGGGCAGCAACCATTCTGGGGTCATTGACAGGCCGTAATATTCGACCCATTGTCACTGATTTGTCCTGACTACTGGGCGTCACTGAAACCCTGCCCTCAAGCCTCGAGCCTTGAATGCTGGTTGGCTTCCGCCGAAAAAGTTTGTTCCCGTATTTCTTTCACCGCCATTCTTGCCCGCGTGGACCGAACGTCATTGATTCCTTTCTGCTCTTTGCTCTCGCCCTTCCTCGTGTCCCTCCCGTCCAGAGCGTCAGTGGGCGCGCGTCTCCGAGGGGGCGTTTCTGGTGGGCTGGGCGGATGCTTAGTATTGATGATGGACATGTCAGGCCCGAGTCAATGGAACAGACCATCATGAATGAACCCCCGGCTGATCTGTTGCTCTCGATTTCAGCACTACATGAGTTGAATAGCAAATTATCTAGACGACCGACTAAGTGGCAATGGGTTCCATTTCATCTTACGCCATGCCAATCTGAAACGGCACCGACCCTGAAACTGTGTGATCTATGTCAGTTTTACGCCGCAGCTTTTCCTTCTTCTCCAACGAGCCAAGCAGAATATCGTGACTACCGGCCAGGTCTCGAAACTCCCATTCTGACAGGCATCGTTCGAGACCCAGGAGTTGTTGTGAGCCTTCCGTGTGTCCCTTCTTTTGTCCGCCATGTTGAGTTCCGCAGAAAAGGTTTTCTTGCTTTCCGTTCAATACAGAACGCCGCTGTAACGGTGCAGCAGCTCGGGTGGGATGTCGGGCTCCTCACTCCCGGATGAGTAGTCGTCGCCATCGAGGTCCAGCAGTTGGCGCCCGCAAGGCCACTGTGACAAAAGCCTCCCGGAGATATTGCCAAAGGCAAGTAACATGTTGACAATCAGGATTTGCAGCTGGGCTCTTGTCAGTAGTGGCACGACCACCCACCACGGGGGATTCTGGGAGGACAAAGGGCTTACAGTATAGAAAAGAGGCCACTTATCAAGGAAGAAGAACATTGGCATCGTCGTAAGAAGCGTGATGATCACGTAGACGAAGGTGCGTAGGGATTCCAGGTGAAGAATCTCCGAGGCTGGCAGGTCCGAGTCCGCATCCATGGCATTCCCTCGTCGGGGCTTTCGTTGACCCTGGGCTTCGAGTTTTGGTATCGTCCGAGAAGCCCAGTGCATTTTGATTTCGTAGTTGGCCACGATGGAGAATGCGAACAGCATCAATCCAGTGGCGCCGTCGTTGTCAAGGAAAAAGGACGTGACCATCAGGCCAATCGAAGTAACGGCCCACGTGCCCGCCAGCAAGAGTTTGATCCAGCCATTCCAGGCTTGGAGGTACAAGGCGTCAATGGCTCCGGCGATCTCGACAACCTATTTCATGAAATTAGAAGAACGGGATGCATCGAGGCTGGAAGTCACACGCAATACCTCAAACGCAGCCTCGCAGAACAGCGTCCCCCGAGCAAGGGCCATGGCGTTCCACGGAGTCCAATGCAGGGCCGCTGCGGCAGTCAGAGCCACGGCAAAGAGCGCCTGGCTGGTTGCATTGGCGAGGCTGCTGAGCACGTATACGATATTCTTGTCTTCCAGGCCATCCCGAACATATCCGATGGTCACCAGGAGGTATGGGATGGTGAAGACAGCATTGAGGGCACTGCAGAACAAAAAAGAGTTGAACATGGCGATTGTGTTAACCAACGATCAAAGCATGAACAGTATAGAGGGGCGGTGAAACCTGCAGAGCAGAGCTGGCAGCCAGCCATCATTTATGTTTCTTGCTCCCGTGGAGGACGAGAGTCCTTGACTCTCGAGTCTCGGCATATCCCTACCGCTTATTTGAGCTGCATGCAATAGCAAGCATGTGGTCAGTGGCATATTACTCTCATCATTCAATCAGGACTTGTCATTGCCTCGCCTGGCGGGGATGGTGGTCTTTCTTCCCAAGGAAGAGAGCGTGTCAATCCTCTTTTGGCCGGAACCTGATTAGCACGCCAGCCCGCCCACCTGGAGGACTGACATCTGGCGACGAAGTCTTCGCAGCAGCCGTACTCCGTAGTGCAGGGAAGATCTGGAAACCCATGGGCCACTCCTGTGACCTGAATATGTGATGGAAAGTGATGGAGATTATGATTGGAGGCCACTGGGGATCGTTGCCATGTTTGGAGAGAGCTCTGGGCAAGAAGCCCCTTGGCTGCTCGTTTTCGACGAGATTTCATTGGTAAGGTGACCGTCTGGGGAGCTAGGGGAGCCGGAACAGAGCTGCCCGGCAGCCGAGACCCATAGATGATTGAAGCAAAATCCAGAGCAAACGCAAGGGACTTCTGTCACTCACCAAAGACAACCTGGCGACGCCTCCAAGCCGTACCCAGAGACCACCCAGCCTGCTGGCTTGCGTGTCTGCTTGCTTGCTTGCTTCCTTCCTTGTCGGTCTGTCTGCCTGCCTTGCTTGACTGCCGGATTGAGGCGGCTGGTAATCTTGCTTGCCTTGCGCGCTCAGTTCGCTTGTTTTTCTCTCTCAAGCATCGGACATCGGATCGAGCCTTCGTAGGTAAGAGTTGGATTGCAGGGTGGACAGGGCCGAGAGAAGTCTCCTCACTTTGACGCCTCAAGACCACCCGAGAAAATCGACTTGATTGGCGAGTCAATCACGGGTACGAGGAGACAACCCTCAACACTTGTTGATAGACCAATGGCTCGCACAGGTGCAATGCAGTATATGCAACGCTAAATGTCTCATGAGATCACCATATTTTTTCGGATCAGCCCCAGGCGAACTCTTATTCGATAGGTCATGCTAGTGCCTATCAAGACCCCGTCTGAAGCAGCATGCCTAGACAAAATCGAGTCGATTTGAGATGCGTGCATCATTTTGGCAGCTCGGGAGTGCGGACAATGTTTGCTGCGGTGTAGATAGAGGGGAACTGAGTCCGCTCTGGCTGTCGTGAGAACACCTTTCTGTTGTGAGTCTCAGCCTGAGGATATACAAAAGCACACCCACCACCTCCTTGCCACTCCCGACTGTGGGAGGTTCACGTTGGTACTGCAGTCTATGCCTCCGACTCCGGTCACATCTTTTCAAGGTCCTTCCGCATGGGAGGCAGATTTGATTTTCTGTTGAATAAACTCGTTGCTTGTCATAATGGATCTTTCTCGCATGGTGAGCGACCTTGTCCCCAAGAATCGAAGGTGTCTCAAATGTATCATCTCCGACCTTCCTTGCGACAACGGGATATGGCATTGCGAGCATTGTCAACTTGTCAACCGACGACCTGGGAATCTCTCCATGCAGGCCAAGAGTGAGATCATGTTTGAATCGCATATCCCGAGTCTCATGTACAAATGTCTGGGTCAGCATCCCGGTTTCGAATGGCCTTTCGAAATTCACTTCGACATGACTTGGCTGGACTGTATCATCTGCGAGGAGAAGGATGAGGACAAGGACAACGTCACGAGCAACCCCGGGAAGCTTCCCCTTTTCAAGGACGGTGCCATGAGTTACTTTCCCAACGATGTAGAGATCAAAAACTCGTTGCGATGGTTCACAAGCCGCAATCTCCGCCTTGGAGGAATGCAAGACTTGCTTCTTTCAAGGTTAAGTCCTCTGCTCCACGAACAAGCGTTGCGGGATCTTGCTGCGCGCCACCAAGTCCCGTGCACCACACTGGAAGACTGGTGGAAGACTTACCTCATGTCGGGACTGATTCTATCAACATGGGAAGAGGCTGTGATTGTTGGCGACTTCCAGCCGACACAGTTGGACCAGCCGGCAATGGAGGTTATCAAGCTCTTCCACCGCAAAACTCAGCAGTTGGCAGATAATCTGGACGCTGTCACGCCTGACCTGAGGACCCTTAATTCTATGAGGGCCATACACCCGGTTATGGAAGAAGCTCGTATGTAACTGTTTGTCCTTTTTCCCAGTAGATAAAACCCTCAACCTTACTGACGTTTAGCGCAGTGGCAAACACGTCGATGGATAGGTACTCGTGGATGCTCATGGCAGAATGCATGACCGGGGGAATCCACATCTTTCAGAGATTCGGTATCTCATGGATTTAGAGCTAGTCCGATCAGTCGGTGGCTATCTTCAACGGTCTTTGCCGTGGCATCGGTCGTGGCTTTTCGTCTCCGTCCATTCAGGGTGGGCGAAGTAGTCGAGCGAGGAGTCGTATGAACGCATACCCTCGAGCCGAGTGGATATGGGATAAGAGTGGACGGAAGACAGGAGTAAGTTGTGATGGCGGCGCTGCGAAGGGTCTGGAATCAGTGTTGCAGTGAGAGGGCGTTGGTGGTGGTGCGGTCGAAATTACCTCAAAGCGCTGGATGTTTTGAGATTCGGCCCCGTCCCAATGGGCCCCTTCGCTTATCGTGGTAGGGTGATTTAGTCGCAGGATAGACAGTCTTCAATGGCATCGCTAATTCCACCGTAAGACGATATCGCCAGCGCTTGCTTACGGTGCGGATCGATAGAGTAGGTTCACGGGCGGACGGGGGAAGTGAGAATGGTGGAGGTTTGGTTTGGTGTGGGGCGGTGGCCCAGCAATGTGTTAGGGATGCTTAAAGCGGGTGCTCGGTGCCTAAATTATCAGGGGAATCGTTAAAAAGTTGGGGTGCAATGAGTGCCAAGCAAAGCGCCCGGGGGGCTGCCGCCATGAATGTTTTAGGTGCTCAATGCCTTGGAAATGAACGCCTAAGTACCTAGGTAGCTAGGTAGGTAAGCTATACCGTTGAACCGGTGCCTGTTGGACACTCACCTCGGGAGTTGCGCCTGCGATGACTCTGCGCATTCTGACCCTGCGCATCCACCAGACTCACTGTATTCCAATCTCTCTTTCCGGGTGCCTTCTAGCCTGGGATGAGCCCCTCAATCAACCCGACCTGTGACGGCGACAACGAAAGGATTGTGTGTTATCAAAGGGTGCCAAAAGAGTGGCAGCAGGACACGACAGCCCAGAGAAGAGCCCTACCTCCATTCCTGCATCGATATTGTATTCTTTCTGCTTTGCTTCCTGGGTGCTCGCAATCTCCCCGGCGACTCCTTGTCTCGGACCGAACTCGAAAGGGCATACACTTGGACGCAGGGACGGAAGGGAGCAAGGGCAGGAATTCGGTCGGTTCACATTCATCGGGATCCGACTGCGCTGTATATCATGGCGACTCCTGCGATGATGAGAATATGGTAGACGCCCTGAGATACTGAGAAACGGGCACGGACGCAGACAGAGCGAGACAGACAACCAGGCATCCCGCGCGAGGGGTGGCCTACAAAAGTAGCGCTCGAGGCGCTCTCTGCGTGAGTGTGGTTATTGGGTCAGGATATGGAATGCCCGTAGACCCTCCGACAGGAACGAGGAGTCCTCGGGGCGCATTCACCTTGAAATTGATACCATTCGAAGCGGGCTGGACGCGTCGAGCAGAACGGTCCAATTTCAGAGCATTTATTCATGCATTCAACCCGATGCGGGCGTTGTTGAAGAAGGCCTGCTCAAAGTAGCGTCTTGGGCTCAGCCCAACCCAATGGGAGACGTGACAAAGGTAGGCTTTATTACTTCTATTGACCTATCTATCTATCCGCTTCCCTTACAGTGGCATGAATTTCAACCTTGGCCAGAGAGCGACAAGCCGCCCTTGCTGTGAGTGTCTTGCGCCACAGCTTGACCGTGCAGCCGCTCGCTTAGACGAAACTTCAGCCGTAAGTTTGATTCATCCAATGATCAACGTCGAATCAATCATGATGGTGATGGTGGCTAGACACAAACCATGCGTAGCTATGTCCTGACCACCACCCCTGAAGCTCTTATTTGGAGGAGATCGATTGATTCGCTCGGGACTCGGCTGGTAGAGCGCCAGTGAACAACCAGATTGCTTTGATAGAATATGCTCTGCAACTCGATTCGTCATCCGGCTGTCGACAATGATGTCCGTTCATCGGCGATCGGCGGTCACATCCAGGCTCTATAAGATCAAGTCATCAGAAGACTGCCTGGAAGCCGCACACCGAGGAAATTGACCCGATTGAACGTCGCTTTGAGTGTAATTTCGCTCAAAACTTATGCCTCGTGCGTGACATTAGCGCTGGTGTTCCAGACAGAAAGGGCCTGATTCGTATGGGGTAAGTCGTTCGGTGTCACCAGTATATAGCGCCGACGAAACGGGGTCTGCAGCAGGCTCAATCGTCTCTTCGATCGACTTTCGTTAGTGTTGGCCCACTCATGGCAAATGCAGGCCGCAGACGGCCGGACAACAGCAACAGCTGTGGACAGATTAGAGCATCCAGAGTTGGCAGAGGAGCACTTTGCCATCCGCGACTCGATCAGGTGCAAGGAGGGGTGCTCTGCATCAGGCGCAGTGGATGGTCAGCAGCGAAATCTCGACGTCGCTGTCTCTCCAGGCCTCTTAAGGGCGAGATCTCGGAATCGGAGTGATGCCCTTTCTTCCGTTTCTGTGGCTGTAGGTGCGCACGTTCAAAGTCGATCAGAAGCACTCGCTGCGCCTCGTCGTTCCACAACATATTCGGCAACCGCAAGTCCCCATGAACCACCAAGAGTTGCGAAACCTCACGCATCGATCGCTGTTTCTCTCTTTCAAGCAAGCTGCCGTCGATAGCTGGGGAGCGCTCATACAACGAAAACCCTCCCCAGGACATCAAAACCATGTGAACAATTTTGACTCCAACGTCGTAAAAGTAAGGATGGTCGAGATCGATATTCCCCAGGTAGACAGGAGTCGCAGAGCCTTGGATAGGCAATAGTCGCTGGTACACTTGCCCCTCATGGCGGAGATGCTGACGGAGTTCATCAATGGTGCCTTTGGCTACAAACGTGTATCCGTGAGACACCTCCGTCACCCTGAACAAAACACCCCGCGCGCCTTGAATGCCGAGAGGGTCGCAATTGTGGTCCATGTCAGCATTGAGCTGGCATCGTACTCGATCGACTAGGTCGTTGAGGCCAATTTCATGGACAACGGTATTTGGCAACAATCGATGTTGGGCGTAATTGGGGCAGGCTGGGTCGAGAGACCGCCGTAAGCGTAAGCCGACAAGGCACTTCATGGTGCAGTATGGCCTCGTTTGTTGTTGCTGTTGTCTGGATGCTCCAGATAGCGTCGCTCCAAGCCCAGACGAATTATCCGTTGAAGTACGCTTCCGCTTCGCCGTGGTGCCTCGCGTTGGCGTTTCAGGCATGGCTGAGGTGGTGTCGCCAGAGTCCTCGGACGAGGAGTCGGATCTAAATGAGGCAGCCCCATGTTCATCGTCTCGTTCCAGGATCAACTTCCGCTTGCGTAACAAGGAAGGCGACCGAGGATCGACGGGATACTGAGGGGAGGAATATTCTGAGCCATGGGGTGACTGGTGCCGCTCGTCGTCCGGAATTTGACGGAGTATCTCCTCGAAGTCTTCCACCCAAAGGTGTAACTTTTTCAATGCAGACTGCCGCCAGCTCTGTGATCGCACAGGAGAATGCATGGCCATGAGGCAAAATCCGAGCAACCGGCTGACAGCAGTAAAGGGGTATCGAAAACCGTTTGGGTCGGTAGGCACTACGTCAAGCTGCGGCTCGGTCAGATAGTAATAGACCGTTGCAGGATCATCTTCCAGCACGCGCAAGTAGACTTCGGCGACTCCCGTGGTGAAACTGCCGTACTCGAGACCATTGTCGATCATGTACTCAAAAGTCTGTGTCACCGCCGCGGCCACTAGTCGATCGGCGTGGTACTGGATTTTCCCGGCCGGATCGTTAGGAATGGTAGTGCGCTGAACAACTTCGTCTCGAACATCCATTGGCCGAAGCCCAGCTCGTAAGTGCTCAGGACTGAGTTTGTGCGCCGCCTTGTACTCACGAACTAAAAGCAGACTGCGCTTCCCGTCGGAGTCTCGAAAGACGCACGCCGGATCTATCGCTGAGGGTCGTGGCCTTCCGCTCGCTCCTGCCTGCCCCTGTTGTAGTGCGTTGAGATAATTGGAAAATTCAACGCCGGCGCATCCATTCACTAAGTGTTGTGCGTCACCCGAAGACAGCAGCTGCCGCAACACCTCTTGTACCTGCATTCCCACAGCAAAACGATCGTAGGATTCCAAATCTTTCTCGCTCGTGAGAGGATGGCCACAGAGATTTCCAAACACTTCAAGCGCAATTCTGGGGGGGAACAAGGGTCGTCCGCCGTCTTTGCACAAGACATTGTATGCGGCGTCAAAGACGCGTTGGTGCATATGGGGAAAATCCTCCCACGGACGAAGATTGGTTGGATGTTTCTTTGCTTGAGGTTTGGTGATTGATCCTATTGTCGTGAGGGCGAGGTTACTTTCGACGCGAAGAGGAACGGTAAATTGTTCGTGGCATAGCTGGATGAATTGAGGAAAGGAGGTTTTCGCTATCTGCTGTTCTGCCGTGTCTGCACGCTGTCGTTCCGTGTTTGCACGCTGTCGTTCCGTGTCTGCACGCTGTCGTTCCGTGTCTGCACGCTGTTCTGCCGTGTCTACACGCTGTTCTGCCGAGTCTGCACGCTGTTCTGCCGTGTCTGCACGTCTTTCAGCGGCGCGAAGCGCTGCCCTGAGCTTTTCTACCTCAGACTCGTCCATAGTAGCCGATGTGGCCGGTGAAGGCTAACAGGGGTGTTGATGAAAAGGGTTGTTTACCCCCGCGCAGGCAGCAAAACGCGGGAGCTCCTCTGCGGGCAGACGCCAGAGACAAATGGCCCATTCTGACATAGTTAACGACGAGGAGGCCGCCGTATAAGAAACAGCTGGAACTCAGTGATGAGCATAGGGGTTGCACTGATCAAGACTAGATGGAATGCCCCTTCAAAGTGATGCCAACCTCATAACTAATGGTTAATCACTTGTGCGTGACTGCCCTATCTCGCCTGTCGTACGCGCTTCGCGTCCCACCTGTGCCTCTTATTCAAGGGAAGGTGTGCCGATGCCGATATTCTTGAAACTCCTTCCTGTCCCCATGCGCGATGCACATATTACCGCCACCAGCTACACCTCCTCTTCGCTGCCACAAGGAATACTTTTCTTTGATCGTGTTCGCTTTTAGGCCCAGTCCCCAATGCTAGATGGTGCTGTTTTGGGGCCGAACCCTCAATCTAATCCCTATCTCACACCCTGTAGGTTTCCTCAACAGGCTCTCGCGCAGTGACCACTCTTCTTCGTACAATCTGAAATCATACCTGAACGCGATCGTCGCAACGGCCAGGATCAACTCCATCTCCGCCACATTTCTTCCTATGCAGCTTCTGGGGCCAACACTGAACGGGATAAAGGCTGCCCTCTGTTCCTCTGTAACTGTTTCCCACCTCTCAGGTTTGAATTCGTCAGCGTCACTTCCCCAGATCTCTTTGGAGTGATGCATTGTGTATATTGGCACGCTTAGGACGGTACCCGGCGGGAAGAAGTGGCCACAAAGCTCGACCCCTGGCCCTGGTGGTACGACACGTGGAAGGCCCAAGCTGACTGGCGGATGAACTCTCAAGGCCTCATTGATGACCATTTTCAGATAGGGCAAGTCTTTGACTTGTTCGAATGTCGGAATCTCCACATCATCGGGGAGCACACTGTCGAGTTCTTTCTGGAGTCTCTCCAGGATCCTGGGCGTCTTCAGCATCCAATATGTAAGCGCACAAAGAGCGGTCGAGGTAGTGTCGCTGCCCGCAACGATCTGGGTGAGAGCCTCGGAAAGTAACTCGGCTTTTCCCATGGGCTGTCCATTTTCATCCTTCCCTTCTATCAGACGAGCCAAAATGTCGACCCTGTCATGTCCGCTTCCTGCTTCAAGGCGTGCACTGACGCTGGCAACACCAATGCCGTGCACCCCGCCTTTTGCTCTCAGACCTCTCTGGACCAGAGGATCAGGGATGTATTTTGCATAGGGGATCAAAAACGGCACAGAACCAAGTGTGTTCATCAATTCCCCGCGAACATTAATGGACTCTATCGCACGGCAATAGGATATCTGCCCGTCGATCTTGGACTTGACTTCTGTAATGTCTTGACCCTTCTCCAGCATCCCAAACGGTTGACCAAATGCTAGGTCCCCTATGATATCGAAAGCGAGATAGTTGGACCATCTCATTGAATCAATCCGGGCAAATTGTCCATTGGCATTTTGGCAACGGCCGTCCCACTGCCGAATCAAGACGTCTAGGTGGCATCTCATATACTGCTCAAATTGGGCCACCGACTTTGCAGAAAATGTGTGAGAGACTGTCTTGCGCTTCCGCGTATGCTCATTTCGGTCACGCGTGCTAAACAGACCGGGCCCGAACGTCACAAAGGCGTCGTAGAAGTCCGATTTGAGGAAACCGTTGCCGTGCCCGTAGATGATTTGGATTGCATTCTTGTTTGCAATAGAGACGTGATTCGGTTGGATCCGCACAACCTCTCCTTTCCTCAGATGGGCTTCATGGACCGTGAGCGACCTTTTGACTCGACGAGATTGAAGAGCGAGCCAGAAATTACTGAAAGCGGCCCAAAAGGATGCAGCCGGAATCCGACGTAAGGACGAATATGTTGTCAGGTAAGGAAGGATATAGTAACCGAGGAAGATTGTGATTGACCAAATCACCAGATGAGCACCAAGAGGCATCGCGACAATCACCATGATTGAGAGGTGGTATTGATGGGGTGTATAGCTATGTCTTCTCGCAGAAATTACAGGTCTGTGGCGTGTGGAGTACAGCTGTGCTACAGGTGAAAGGTCCGCAGAGAGCACCATTGATATAAGTTGTCCGCTCTGGATATTAGTGGTAGATCACTGTCATTCTCACTGCCGTGCTCCCGGAATGATCGTCAGCTTCGGTCTTCATCTGACGCGAACCCCATGCACCTTGCGGACCAGACAAGCGTGGTTCCAGATCAGGGAACGCCGACGTGTTGGATCTGGATGAAGGAACGCCGTCGAGTTGTTTCGATGATCTGGGAATCTACCAACGCCGCGTTAGTGCTCTCAGCTGGCTCGATCTCTATTGTTCACCAGTAATTCCTCCTAATATCCCCACCTATATTTGAATCTTCCGGCTGTTGAGCAACTATAGGTACATCCAGGGAATAGAAAACTGTTCAGGCGTGTCTCGACGTCTCGTTCGACCATAGTCATGACGCGTTCTACCAACGAACCAGTACGTGGCATCTTTAAGCTGACGTACAATTCGGACGTATCCATCTATTATGAACTCTCCTGCCCTCCCGCAAGCGATAACGCCAAACCCATTATAGCGCTCTCCAATCCCCTGGCTGCCTCCTTGGATCACTGGGACAAATTCACAGACGAATTTTCACCCTTTTATACTATCCTTCGGTATGATTCCCGATTCCATGGACGGTCACCGCTGGGATCCAGCGGCAAGCCAGAATATGATTTCAAGGCAGCAGCGTCATCTTTGACAATGGCGGATCTAGCACAAGATCTAAAAGATTTGCTTGACCATCTGGCAATACCGAAGCTACACGCGTTGATTGGACTCAGTATCGGGGGCGGAGTGGCATTGGTCTTTGGCGCCATGTATCCCGAGCTGGTCGAGCAGGTTCTGGTCGTAGGAAGCAGGGCGAAAACAGACAGGGAGGTAAACGAGACATTTGATGCCCGAATCAAATTCGGATGGGACAATGGCACGGCCTCTCTCGCGGCACAGAGCATGAACAGGTGGTTCCCTGAGCCGTGGCTGAGGGATCACCACGACGAGGCGCAGAAAATGGAAAAGATGCTTTCCATGCAGAGTATGGAGGGATACGAAGTGAGCGTGGGTGCTTTGAAGAAGTTGGACCTGTGGCCATACGTAGAAAAAGTACGGGAGCTTGCTGATGGTCATCGCTTCTTGTTCATGGCGGGTGAAAGAGATGGAAGCGTCACCGACGAAACTCGAGCAATGGCGGAGCGCGCAGGTAGTGAGGTGGTCATTTTGCAGGGGCTAGGGCACATGGTTAATATCGAGGGGCCAGAGGCGTTTCATGCCGCGGTACGGAGGAGAATTGCATGAGCAAAGCATTAATCCTCTGAATGCTAGGTATAGCTCTCATGAAGTGCTGACACAGGGCCTGAGACGTCAATCTCCTCAAAGACATCACTTCAGAGAGCACTGTTTCATTCACGCAACATATCTCACATACAGTGCCAACCACCGTCAACGAAGATGTGATTACCAGTAATATAATCACTCGCTCTGGAAGCCAAGAACACCGTAACACCCTTGAAGTCCCCTGGCCTTCCCCATCGTCCTGCTGGGATCCTCTCTACTGTCCTCTCTTTGAAATCAGGGTTATCAAGCATTCTCTGTGACAAGGGAGTTTGGATCCATCTAGAGGGCGTCAGCTGTACTGGATTCTGTGTCAAGGAAGAGCGAAGGATCTGTAACACACCCGGGGACTAAGTCATTAACTTGAATATTATACCTTGCGAATTCTGTGGCCAATGTTTCCGTCAGGTGGCTCAGGGCGGCCTTCATAGGGCCATACGTAGAGAATCGGGTCTGCGGGCGAAAAGCGGCAATGGACGAGATGTTGATTATCTTGCCGCCCTTTTGCCGACTGGCCATATGATGGCCTATAAGTTGCGAAAGCACATAAGGTGCATGGTAGTGGATTTGAGCGACCTGGAGATCCGTGCCTCAAGGAAACTGTTAGTTGTCTGTGTAGAGCTCCAAAAAAAAAAGTCACGGTATGAGAATATATGCGTCTTGTAAGCTTGTAGACAGAGACTTTCATGATGTTGTGGAGGTGATAATGCCCGCCATCAGCACAGCATTGAAAAAGAAAGATCTTGATGATGGAAAAATATAGTTCACGCACCTTTCCTCGATGGTCGTCATTTTCATCCAGAACCTGCACGAACTCCCCACTGATTCCTGCTACATTGCACAAGATATCAACCGTCAACCCATCTTCAAGTACTTTCGCAACTGCAGCCCTAATCGCTTCACTATCCCCTAGGTCACACTCATAGACATGAACTTTCCGTCCCGTCTGCTTGCCCAATTCGTCTGGGAACGTGGATTGCTCTCCTGGAATCTTGAAGATGATGATGTCGGCGCCAGCTTCGGCCATGCCTCGTGCCATGTAGCCACCAATTCCACCATTGCCGCCTGTAATTAGGGCAGTTCTGCCCACGAGCGAAAAGAGGGATGAGACATGCACTGTATCGCCATTGCAAGGGTTCGAGACAGCAGGGTAGTTGGGATCGACCGTGCCGATCTTGAGATATGCCATTCTTAAAATTGTACCCTCTCGAAATACAAAGGACGCCTCATTCAAAGGTAGTCTGACCGTTTGACTTGCTGGTGAAACTACTACAGCGTAGAGAAGGTTGAAGATATGGACTTGATTAGGTTAAAGGATCAGAAAGCAAGCGCTAAGCAGACTAGATGATAGATGAGAAACCCAGCTAGATATACAGGTGCCCAGGATCTCCATTTTCTCAGAGTCCGTTACTAGCTGAATAGGTAGGCTGAGGGCAATGCTGAAGGTCCTGGACATGGCCATATTTCGCCAACTCTGTGATGTTTCCATGTAGTCTGTGGTACTATTAGTTGTCGCCGCAGGACATCGACTCCGCAAAAGTCCCCCGCCGGCTCCCCGCGCACCAAGGGGCTTCCGAACCGCTCCGCGTCTTACGTTCCCAGCGTGGTAACCCCGAGACTTTTGTGGGCCTAAATCGCGGGGAGGACCCCATGTCAGATCCAGCATAAGGCTTCCGCATGTCAATTTGATTTGAACATAGTCTTGCTTGCCCAGATCTGGACTAGATTCAGCAGGTGTCCATAATATCGGCGCTCCCATTCTTAACTTCGCCGTGCCAGAAGGATCTCGACGGGATAGCTCCCGGTATTCTCGGAGGTTGAGCAAACGTGGTACGATTCTCAGGTCGATGTTCACAGTTTTCTACTGGAAAGTGCAGTTCTGGGCCATGATAATAGGCTACCGCTCGAACTGATTTTTGGGCCGAGATGTTGAGCTCAGGTTTGATTCCTTAGAATTAACCTCCGCTGCTGGGGAGGCATGTCAAGACACCGTTCTGCCTTAAGATTTTTGCACTTAACCTCGACATCCGCTGACAGTGATTGTTCTCATCAACGTTTCGTCTAATTGATTACGGTTACCATCATTAGCATCAGTATGGGTTCGGTGGGCAACCCTGCATATACATGGAGCGATCATTACATCGCTGAGCCAAAACCAGTCCGAGTCATTGCCATTGGCGCTGGTATTTCAGGCATAGCCTTCGTTCACAAGGTCAAGAACCTAGAAAATGTCGACTTTATTGTCTATGAGAAAAACGCAGATGTAGGAGGCACCTGGCTCGAGGCACGATATCCTGGCGTGTCGTGCGACGTCCCTGCTCACAGCTATACTTATTCGTGGGTCGGCAACCCTTCATGGTCAAAGGTGTATGTCGGAGCTGTGGAGATTTGTGAGTTCTACAAGAGGCTTGCTCGAAGCTATGGGGTTTACGAAAAGACCATGTTTCGACATCAAGTAGTCGGAGCCGAGTGGGAAGACAAGACTTCGCAATGGAAAGTCACCATCAAAGACCTCAACACCGGCAAGGTCCTCATTGATCATGCAGAAGTTTTGCTAAATCTCGGCGGCATTTTAAAGTGAGTTAAATCTGTCTACACCAGTGTGATTGCAGGATCTAACAACAAATAGTAACTGGAAATGGCCTGACATTCAGGGGCTCCACGAATTCAAGGGCGACATGGTTCATTCAGCGAACTGGAACATGGACCTTGAGTTGAGCGGTAAACGAGTAGCGGTCATTGGGTCAGGTGCTTCAGGAATCCAGATCGTCCCGGCCATACAACCCGGTATGAATCAATACAAAATACTATTAACCCTGCTTACAGAACATCAGTGGCAAAGAAGGTAATCAGCTTCAACCGCTCAGCTAACTGGATCGCTGGGGAATTCGCTGCAACAGTTGCCTGGGATGGCCGTGACAGCGTCTATACAGAAGAGCAAAAGGCCGAATTTCGATCAGATGGAGATGGATTCCGTGAATATCGGCGAAAGGTAGAGCATGAAGTGAATGCAAGATTTCCTGCCTTTTACAGGAACTCGGCAGCTCAAAAGCTTGTCAGAAATTTGGTGACCGAGTCTATGAAGAGGAGGTTGAATAACGATCCGGTATTGACCAAGTCTCTGATACCGGACTTCCCAGTTGGTTGTCGCCGGTGAGTATATACCACGTGAATATCAGCATCGGTACTGAAAGCTTCAATCAGAGTCACTCCCGGGTCCGGGTACCTTGAAGCGTTGCTCGAAGACAACGTTGAGGTCGTCACCGATCCCATTGACAGCATAAAAGAACAGGGAATAGTCACTCGAGACAAGAATACAAACAACAGAACCGTCCACGAAGTCGACGTGATCATCTGTGCCACCGGCTACGACACCTCTTTTGTCCCTCGCTTCCCAATTCACGGTCTCAATGGATTTGATCTTCGACAAACATGGGGAGAGAAAGGAGCAGCCTCATACATGTCGGTGGCTGTTCCCAATTGCCCCAACTACTTCTGTTGGCTTAATCTACCCCTTCTTTTAACATCAGTTGGTTAATTTTGTAAAACAGTGACAGCGGGCCCGAATACCCCCATTAGCAATGGCTCTTTGATTCCAGCTCTCGAGCTCCAAATTGATTATGCTCTTGCATTTATTAAGAAAATCCAAACGCAAAATCTGAGATATGCAGTCGTCAGCCAAGCAGCAACTGACGAATTCAACGAGCATAAAGATGCGTTAATGGAAGAGATGACCTGGTCCGCAAATTGCACCAGCTGGTAAGGTTTTGCTTCTTTGCCGAAAAGCCGCAATCAGAAATAAAGGACGTTGCTGAGGCATACATTTATAGGTACAAGAATGGCAAAGCAGATGGGAAGGTTATCGGGCCCTGGCCAGGGTCGGTGACACACTTTCTCGAGGCATTGGCGACACCAAGGTTCGAGGACTTTCACTATGAGTACAAGATCGGCAATCGATTCCAATATTTGGGGAATGGACAGTCATCGGCGGATGCCAAAGGGTTAAACTTAGCATGGTATGTTAAGTAACCCCTTGATAGATGCTGCTTTAGCTTTCGAGAATGGTATTGCCTCTCACGACCTCACACATTTTGGTGGTGTCTGGATCTTGACAGATCTGCGCATGCAACGCTCCTGTGAGAATCACAGTCATTCGTGCCCTTCATCTTCTCGTGGATGACCTGTACCATAAGTCGTTGCCTTACTAGATTGACCCTGACCTTGGCCGAGCGCCGAACTCTGATGATTCTCTTGGGAACGTAAGTCATAACGATCTAAAGCGCTTTCAAGCGACGATCATTCAATTGGAAAAACTGGGTCTTAGATATTCTAGGTTATCAGAAGCATATACTTCGTCTGCGTAGACCTTGTGTACATTCACCTTCTAGACTCCGTCATACCAGCGTCTCCCATAGAAGTGCGCCTCTCCAGGTTTCTCCAGAACACGAAGGCTTTCCGACACTTTCTTTCGTTCGAATGCGGTTTCCATCCTCGTAATACAGCAGTGTGAACTAGGGAACACAGGAAAATAAAGATTGAATTGAGCTTCATACCCTCCGCCGTCTCTTCAAGGCTTCATGTTGCCGTCACAGCTTTGCCGCATCATGAGCAAAAAGCCAATTCCGTCTCTCTGAACTTCCCCAAAATATCGGGTTTTCTTCTGTATCTTGAACAATTAACTTGTCTCTTTCCCGTTGTTCTTTGCCCTCTGATAAGTGGTACGTCTTTTGCAGCCCACGTCCGCTCGCCTGGATTCGTGAGGCTCGAGGCCGACGGATCTCTTCATATCGCTTTAGAGCAGCCGCCAGTCCGGACACCTGAACGTCTTGCAGAGCCGCTGCGAGTGCTGCTGCATCTTCGGTTGCCTGTGCGGCTCCTTGTGCCATATAAGGTAACATGGGATGGCAAGCGTCACCAACCAAAACAGCCTTCCCGCTAGGGTGTACCCAGCGTTCCACAAGATCAAGGTCGAAAAGGCGCCACTTGAGATACTTTGTATTGCCAGCGAGCTGACAGAGCTTAACCACCCGCGGCTCCCAGTCCGCGAATCTCCTCAGCAGCTCCTTGTTACTGTCAATCGATATTTTGCTGTCCATTCCTTGTAGTTCGGCGTCGTACACGGTGTCAGAGGCACAGCAAGCCACAATGTTGTATATCTCTCCGCCTCGGATTGGATAACCGATAAAATGAGCACCGGGACCCATCCAAGAGTTTACCCACGGACGAGAGACCAAGTCTCGCAGCTCCGGATCTTGAAGAAGGATGTAGCCAGGAAGCAGGATACGATAGGCGATGTCACCTGTATCCTGGGGAGGCAGCTCTGCGCCCAGTATCTGAGTTCTGGCTTGACTTTGGACCCCTGAAGAAGAACTTTGTGAGCACCTGCGGTTTTCTTGCTACAGTGATATGTCAGACGAACCATCGGCAACAACAATAAGATCACCTTCGTATCTCGTGCCGTCGGCGGCCGTGAGAGAAGGAGCGTCCCAGTCGTATGCAACCACCTTCTTGGCTGGCTCAATCTTAACGCCAATTTCAATAGCTCTCTTCACCAATATAGAGTGGTAGTCAGCTCGGTGAACCATTAGATAAGACCCTCCATAGTCCAGTTCAGGAACCCCATGTGACATAGCAGCCAATACTTTGCCATCTGAGTATCTTAAAAACCGATTGCCATTGGAATGGGTTTTCTTCATGTTCGAAAAGTCGACGCCCCAGCGGCGGAGTAGCTTGAACCCGTTCGGTGGGATCCGCATTCCGGCTCCAACCCATGGAAAATATCAGCCATGCCAACTTCAAAATGCTTGAAACTAGAAGCATACTTCACCAAAAGCCGGCGCTTCTTCGAGCACGGTAACCGAGTGACCGCTAATTTTAAGACTCAGTGCCACAGCTAGGCCACCAATGCCGGCGCCCACAACAATGATCTTCAATCCCGTTTGAGAGGAACTCGACATCTTGAAACGATTTGACTATTGAGATAATAGATCAGGTTGAACGGAGAACCAGCGTATAGGTGTCAATTTTGAAAGTTATTGAAAATGGGAGAATACCTTCTTCCCTTTTTGGGAGCCGAAGACCTTAGGAGAGTTCGAGGATGATGAAACTTAGCTCTGAAGTTAACGATCTGACAATGCACAAGGAACGTCTTTTGTAAATACGCCGTTCCACAAACCTGAAAAGGTTCGCCGAATCCCAGGCGATTTCAGTGACGTGGAGTTCGTCCGACCGGGGAACAAGACAATGGTGAGTATGGACTCAATGAGAAGGGGTCGTTCAAGGCCCGAAATGGTGAGCTACTAGTGGAGCTTCAGTGAGTTAAAAAGAAACAAGGAGATGCCTGAACAGGAAATGCCTCGTCTCGTCCCGCTTATTGGGCCCACATTTTCTCGGACCTATATCCCCAGGTCACTCGGTAGGTAGGATGAGCCTGGCATCGCCGCTCTGGCGTTGAAGGTCATTCTCTGTTCCTTTGTGAGACGCCGACACATCGGTTGAAGCATAGCATACCCAATGGCTTGTCCATTCCCTCTCTTTGTCTAGAAAAGAGCCTTGTCCCTCCACTTTTGTCTCAACGTGGGTCACATCACCACCATCTGAGTCAAATCAAAGGAAAACAAAGAATATTCTACCACACCATGGGCATTGGAGTATTGGAACCAAAGTCCGGAGAAAATGTTCCCGGCACCGCCCATATTGAATGACAGACTCATCAGTAACGCGCTCTCACCGCTCGCCTTGAACATGGCGATAAAGGAGAAGAACATATTGTGCTTGTACACCATCCTTCAGACTCTCCCAATGATCCACTCAGTAAGGGGCCATAAGAACAGCTCTTGCAATTTTTAGTCACACGGTATCTCTCGGTAACCTCGTTTCAAGTCAGCGCAAAGAAAGACTCAAAACCCATTTGAGGTCATTGTATATATTCTCTGACCACCTTCTTGAACTCTCCAGTTGAGGGAGTGACATGAATGCATGGGGTAGTCCAGGATAGATCTCCAGTCTCGTTTGTACTCTGGAAATGGCAGAGGAGTTAATTTTCAGTATCAGAGCTCTTTGGGTTAATACCACGTACCCTACACGTTGTAGTTTTTCTTGAAGTAGAAGCCCCTCGTCGCGTAGAGAGTCGCTGCCTGCAATGTGGAACGATGTCGGAGGGAAATCTTTGAACGTCTCATCCGGCAGCAGCAATGGTGAATAGTAGGGAGAGGTTGGATCAGGTTTGTATAAACAGGCAAATCTCTTCAGAGCGGCCAGACTGATGAATTCAGAATCCGCATTTTGCTCCAGAGAAGTATAACCGTCCTTGACCAAGTGGCGAGGAAAGTGGTCAGGGTCTACTGCGGGCGGGACGCTGAGTAGCAGGCCTTTGATGCGACGTGCCTTGTCAACAGGTTATTACAGTTCCGTGTCTAACAAAGGGTAGAATCGGGGTACATTGCCCATACAACAAGACAGGTATACGTACTTCTTTTCTGTCTCGAAGGACCGTACTCACGGCTATATTGGCGCCCGCACTGACCCCCCCAATAAATATTCTATCAACATCCAGATTTAGTTGCTCTTCCATGTGTGGAATGTGATTCAAGGCATCCCACGCATCATTGACGGGGGTAGGAAATGTCCATTCGGGCGTGTGACGGTAGTTGACATCGACAACGGCAAACCCAGTGCGCAGAGCGATTTGCCTGCAAAAAGGATCTTCGGATTCCAAGCTACCGAGGTGGTAGCCTCCGCCATGCAGATTTATGTAGATGGGAAGTCTGTTCAGCGCTCCCTGTGGTCGGTATACCCTCGATGAGACGACATTGCCGTCAGAAGTCGGAATCGACAAGTCTGTAATGTCGAGGTTTTCTTGGTCCATCAGCTGAGAAATAAAGATAATATCGAAAAACGTAGGCAGTGACCATTACTGTAAAACTCACCCGGCTTGCCCAAAATATCAGCAAATAGTTTCGCACGTCGAGCGTTGAGAATATCGCGAATCTCTGTGACACTCAGTCCGTCAGGAAGCGGCGGAGGTTTCTTCCACTCCTTGACGAAGTCGACCCACTCTTCACAAGGTTTGGCGTATGCAGTATAGTCTGCCATTGCAACTTTTGTACAGCTGGTGGTGTTACTGCATGCGGTGGATAAGGATAAATTGTTGCACAAGGAAGGACACGCATGGAAGAGATTCAATTCATGTAAAAATTGGGAATCCTGATGTTATGCCTGGGTGACATCGGGAAATATCATAGATTACTCCAAGAGGATTTCGCCGGAGACCACAGGCTCTTCTGAAACTAGCATAACCCCTTTCTCAGTAGTGGGAATCGTTAATGGAATGGACACACGATTTAGGCAACATTTAACGAGGCTTTTTCCACGAAGTCCACATTATCCTTGACTAACAGGGGGCGATTCTTGTCCGAATGAGTGTTTTGCGGGCTCTGGCCATGTCCAGAGGGAGAACGATAGAGGATATGTATATGGTTTCTCTCCGTTGACCTGAGCGTCAGCAAATGAAGAAGCGAAAGGAGTCACGGTGTCCAGATCTTCTCATGCCTCAAACTGCAACGGATGAGCGAAGGAGAGCCATATTGAGAGGTCCAGGGGCCCCTGAACCATCCCAATACGGGGGAGACAGCGAGGTCTCCCTAGTTCTACAGCAAGGCTGTTCAAGGCTAATAGAAGGATTGATGTGGTTGACATAATCAGTGTTCTAGCCAACAGCAACCCTATGCTAAATTAACTAATTTGCTAATGTAGATATATGTACATATATCTTTCACGTTACTACACAAGGTCAGCGGATGAAGGTTCGCTGGAATGGCTCTCCTTCGTTGCAAACTGCATGCTACCATTGAGAAGAAGGAAGATATCGATTGCCGGCCATTGTTCTGCCACTCACTCTAAGTGGAGCGGGGTCTTCAGACCATACGTATCTGACGCGATGATCGGCTCAGCAGTGGATTTACCAAAGACCGGCGCTGTCGAAAAGGGTATCGCCGAAGGTATATGTATCGCTTTCGTCACAGTCCCTAGCGCCCAAGCCAAATTTTTAGTTTTAGGCCACTCACTGTCACGCGAGCTTTCTCTTCATGCCAAATGTAAGACAAAAGACCAAATGCTTGATGTTGGTGGGTACAAAAGCCAACTTCTGACCGTCTTTGCCACAATCCGTTTTCGAGTTCGACAACGTTGGCGATCTAAGCTTGTTGCAGTCAGCACTACCGCCACTTGGTGCCGTTCTAGTCAGTCCGGATGAGTTGTATCATCAGCACCTGGTTAGTAATCATGAACTGGCAAGACTGTGCTATCTCGGCCTACTCGTCAGTCGCGTACTTGAACGGCTCTTGTCCAGTCTGCAGCGAAAATGTTGGGTTTCGTGGTTGCTCCGTACTTACGAACCTGACAGCCCTTCCCAGGCTCGAAGTCCCTTGTTGTGTTGCCGTGAATTCCGATTTTGTAGTATCAGCTTCCATCTCTTCCATTCTCGGCCGCAGAGCTTATATTCCTTCGATCGTTCTATGCCTTTCTTCCAGTATTGTTATAAATGACTTGATACAATTGATGAATTTAACTCGAGTAGCGATGGATGGAGTATCGTTTTCCATCATCGACCCTTCTCAGTTTCGCAAAACCCCCAGAGCTCCACCAATGACATGTGCCCGCTGCCACAGGAAAAAGACTCGATGCGACGCAGGTAACTAGGCGAGCCAGGCATGCTAGACTTCCCAGGCTAATCTGGTCCAACATAGGAACTAAGGGATCTGGGCAACCCTGCACAGTGCGTGATAACTTTCTCAGCTCATACAGTGTACTCATGGCGCAACGATGCAGAGCTGTGCAAAAGCTGGCCATCCTTGTTGGTAAGTTGTCTCTGAGGGAGGGTTCCGTCATTCCCGTAACGGAGACAGTATGCAAATTGAAGGCCATTTATAGGACCTATACAGACAAGAGAACGCAGCGGCGACAGACACAAGAGAGTGCAGCGAATGAGTCAGTTTCCTCCACTACCTTCTCCGGGGGAATATTTATTTCTGATGATCAATTGACCTACGGCGATAGAACCACTCCAGGGCCTCTTGCACAAGGCTCGGCATTCGGCACTTTTCCAGTTCTTGACTTGGCTGGCTCGGCCCCTATTGCATCTGAGTCCAGCGTCCGCTTGCCTTCGGATTCCTCCCTGGGCCGCAATGGACCGCAGTTGCCTACCCAAGGGACCAGGAAGCCTCGGTCGGGACACGAAGCATCAATTTCAATCCCTCCTCATCAGTTCCCGGGTCATTCTTTGGATTCGTTGGCCCACAAAAGACAGCTAGCTGCGACAGAATATGGTCGATTCCGTGCTTTTGTGTCTGACAGCTTTGGATCTTATGCTCCTTGTTTTGCCGGCGACGGTCATTCGCGCTTGCCTTCAGATAGTGTAGCTGCTCGCCAGGCGCCCTCTTCTGCAATAGGCAACAGTGCAGCACAGCCAAATGTCTCTCTGGAAAGTCGACGCACTCGAGATCTGGAAAAGGAGTCCACAAAGATTGGGGCAGAAGACCTTCAATACCTGAATGCCAAAGGTAAGAGAAAGGTCCGTTGTAGGGAATCTAGCATTCTAACGAACTCTTATAGGAGCTTTTGACTTGCCGAATCGCAGATTGCAAGAGGAAATGGTCGATGCCTTTTTTACATGGGTCCACCCCCTTTTGCCAGTTTTAAATCGGACATCATTCCTCAAGGACTTTCGAAATAACAAGCCTCTGAGTTTGCTACTCTTGTTTGCCGTATTCACTGCTGGATGCAAAGGCTGTCGAAATCCCTTGCTTATGGACAAATGGGGCACCAATATTAGCAGCGGAAGATATTACTATAACGTGACCAAAGTATGCTGTGAAATCTTTAAAACGCTAATGCAGGATTGCTCATACATTCTAGACGTTACTCAACACGAACTATGAGCCCGACAAGCTGATACAGATCCAGGCACTTCTGCTCATAACATGGTGGTGGGACAAGAAAGATGATGGAGGACAAAATATGCGAGGTTGTGCTGTCAACGCGCTTAACATGGCAGAATGCATTGGGATGAATCGGTGGTAGGTAACAACGTTTCAGTGAGCTTTTGCCGAAATTAAAAATGTGTTCAGGGATCAATATCCAAGGAGTGATCGTGTTGAAACCGGCCTTTGGAAGAGAGTATGGTGGGGGTGCATCGTAAGTTCCATTTCTATCATTGTTAATTACCTTTTATCACTGAGCATCCTCACACCAGGTAAGAGACTGCATGGCGTCGACGGCGCACGGCCTCCCGCGAGCATCAAATCTCCTTGAGTGTGATGTACCAGCGTTAGAATTCGATGATTTCGTCGAAGAAGGGGGTTTCTCGATCGGGGGACAAGTCTCTCCCTACACGTTGGAGGAGATGCACTTTTACATGGAAGAAATAACACTCTGCGACCTCATGGGCGACATCTTCTCACAGTTATATATCCGCCATCGACTTCAGGCCACAACACGAGGCTCTCTATGGACTAGGATTGCCTCACCGAACAATACGCCTGGCCAATCCATGCAAGGCACTTACCCAAGAGTCCAGGCTGACGATGGTCTCAACAATGAGTGGGATCAATGTTTGCAATCGTGGTATTCTAGCATTCCCCCCGAGTTGGAATATGATGTGAACGACGTGCAAAGCCACCGGTTCCTCCGAGCCTTTCTTCAAGTATTGTTCTTGTCAGTCCTCGACATAGGGCGCATACTCGACACTGGCACCTGAAGCTGACTGTTGCAGTACGATTATCTGTATACGCTACCGAATCGGCTCTCTGTCAGATGCAAATTGTCCCAAAGCTCGCTACAGCCGAACGCGAGGTTTCCTTGCGGCCACAATGATCACCAAGGTGGTCAGAAACCTCAAGTCTCACGATCAAATAATGAAGTGCCCTGGGTTCCTGTGAGTTGCTAGACTGCATCTCGGCAGAAGTGCCCGGCCATTACTCGACGAATGGCTAACAGATATAGCACCCACTCTCTGTTCCTTTGTCAAATCTTCCACATGATGGAAGCACAAGAACATAATCCAGTTGTGACCGAGGATGCACAAAGGAAGTATACGCTTTGTCTTAACACCTTGTACGATTTTAGTCAGCTGTGGATCAGTGCCTCCTTGATACATCGGCTATTCGAAGCTCTGCAATCGCAGTTGTTTAAGTCTCACAAGCAGATTCCATTAGCTTCAGGGGCACCAGCGAAGGCCTGGTACCCTGCGGGTGTACATACGTCAGAAGACCTGGGGGAAATCCATGTCCAAGAGTAAGTATCCATAGCTACATTTTCTCGATGCCATCTAACTCGTCTCTAAGGCTTCTTGCCGATCGATTCTCCCTCACGGAGCCCCAGGATCGCGGCGACTGGTTTAGCAGCGGAGTTCAAGGGCCGGCTTATAATTATTCTGCGTCTGATCTTCAGCAACTTCAAGAGCAGTATGATCCAATGATCTCCCAAGGGGACCAGCCGTTTCCCGATTCTCTAGACGTTTACGATTGGTAAGGTTTGCTTTGGTCTCGAAGAGCTCGAGGAACTGACCACAGTCTGATCCTTAGGTGCCAGTTTTTCGATCTGGGACCGCTCTGACCCCGGGTTTATAATCCGACACCTTATTTAGATCTGAAGTCAAGTAGCCACCTCGGATTGTTCTTACTCCAGTTAGTCTCGAGGGAGATTCCACATGCGGAAACACCGAAAATGTCAGAGCGACGGGGGATATGTGAGCATGAGCTGCATGGATAAATCTTAGCCATCGCCTTGTCACACCATCGCACGTGGTCAACAATAAACTAAACTCAAACTGTCTTGTTTGGTACCAGTCCTTGCAAGGTCAATTCGTGCCACTGCGGATAATCTGCAAACAATGTCGAAGATGTTTACGCCCCTTGATTTGGGACGCTGTAGGCTCCAGCATCGGGTCGCAATGGCGCCGTTGACGAGATGTCGTGCCCTAGAAGACCGAATACCGGGGCCCCTGATGAAAGAGTATTATTCACAGAGGGCTTCTGTGACGGGAACTTTCCTCATCACCGAAGCTACAGGGATCTCCCCCAAATCCCCTGCTTTGGCGCATACTCCCGGAATATATTCGGACGAGCAGATCGCAGGCTGGCGCGAAATCACCACCGCCGTACACGAAAAGGGCTCGTACATCTATCTCCAGCTGTGGCACGTTGGTCGTGCTGCCAGGCCGGGCACCGTGGTGGCTGGAGTCGAGGTGGTGTCTGCGAGTTCTGTACCAGAGACAGAAGAGTCACCTGTACCACGAGCTTTGACGGAAGAAGAGATTCTCGAGCTGATTCAAACGTACAAACGAGCAGCCATCAATGCCATGAAGGCCGGGTTCGACGGCGTTGAGATCCACGGGGCGAATGGATACCTCATCGACCAATTTACCCAAGACATCACCAATCAACGGGACGACGCCTGGGGTGGGAGCATTGAGCGACGCGCCCGTTTCGGTCTTGCAATCGCAAAGGCCGTCGTCGATGCGGTCGGAGCCGATCGAGTGGGCTACCGTATCAGCCCGTTCAGCCGACATCACAGCATGGGCATGGCCAATCCTCTTCCACAATTCACGTACCTGGTCGGAGAATTGAAGAAGTTGCGCTTGGCTTATCTCCACATTATTGAACCTCGTGTCAGCGGGAACTCAGATATGCCATCCCTCGGATCCGTCGAAGGCTTGGTATTGGCATGGGAGAATGTCAGCCCAGTGCTTCTTGCCGGCGGGTACACGCCGCTGGAAGCTCGACAGACGACCGACTCAAGGTACAGGGACCGGGATGTTGTTATTGTCTTTGGGCGGTGGTTCATTGCAAACCCAGACCTGCCGTTCAGGATCAAGGAGAATGTCGCTCTCAACAGGTACATCCGCGATCTTTTCTACACAGTCGAAAGTCCCAGCGGATATACAGATTACCCTTTTAGCGACGAGTTTGACCAATCTTTCAAGATCTAGTTCTTTTAACACGGATGTATCTCCTAGAGTCAGTCTGTCTGGCTCCTCTCCTGGAACTGGCGAAAACAACACTGGCAAACCTTTTTTGTCCCTTTTCCCCTTCATTGTCGTGGTCGTGAGTCCCACTGGCGAGAACGGTCTCATTAAAGCGCCTTTCAACTGTTCCTCTGAAAACTCGCCTCTGGGAGGAGTTTCGCTGGTATGGCCTTTTGGTATGGAACCCAACACTTAATATCCTCCAATTTCCTAATTCCAGATCCCATCACCGACACCGAAACACGGGGTGGCATTGGGGTTGCCACACGGCCGCATTCTCTTGTTGAGCCCATTTCCATGAGACAACAATCAGATTTCCTGTATTTCGCAGAATTCATCCACCTGAAGGATCCTCCAATGGACAAAACCGGCGTTCCAGGGGAGGCTGTGCGAGTGCCGCCGACTATACCACAAGTGTGGCAAAAAACGGCGTAGTTGCGTCTATTCTGACATCCACGAAGACGAATTCAACATCACCAGTCTTTATCATAATAGTGTCAAACAGTTGAGGCTGCACACAATAGACGAGAACGAGGCAAGAGGATGAACAGCGTCGTCAACTAGTCAGTCAATCACTAGTCAACTGAACTACCTAGCGAGTAGGTGGTGACCGAAGTCAAATCCTTGGCATAAACCTATACCTATTATAGGTCGCCGCTAAGACATATCTGGGGTGGGACTATACCTATCTAGGAAGGTGACTTTGCTCACTCTGCGGATCGGATTAATATTTATACCAGCCAATGGGAGTGCAGATATGGCTGCCCCGTCTGACGATAGTCACTACCTAGTAGTCATGACTATAGTCACGGCCTCCAGGTTGACTGACTAGTGACTAACGACTGCCTAGTTGACGACGCTGAGGATGATATTGGCCATTGGCTATCCGTCATTCCACTGTGTGCGAGCGACACCCTCGCCGGCAGAGAAAAGCTTCAATGATTCACCTCGACGGTGCTGGGGCTCATGCTCACTCAGCACAACCGAATCTCCTGCGGCCTCACCATCGTACTCTTAGAGGAGAGGCTCAGCGACTGGGCAAAGAAAAGGAGCCCGAGCGAACTTCTCCACGACTTGTCAGGCTGCCTGGTGGAGAGGACACACGTAACAGACACACACCGGACGAGGACAGGTGACGACCCGCGTTTCGCCTCCTCGCGTCTGTGGGGCGGGCGTCGAGGAAAATTCCGGAGATGGGCAGAACGCACGGACGTTGTGCAGGCCCTCTGGCATGCAGGTAAGCTGAGGTCGGTAAACACTCATGCATGTAACGTGGGTATATTATGCTGGCAACGCTCTCAACGTTCTCCCTGAAACCACCCCCAAGAACACCAACGACAATTATGGTACTTTCAAACGAGTCCTTATCCCGGGGGAAGATGCCCATGATCGTTGGGTATTCGGAGAATTCTGCCGAGGGATGTTCATGCCCCTTTGCGGCAGAACTGCAGGAAGAACAACATCCAAACGGTCTGCAGGACCATTTGCTTTGCATTCATCTCTGCAGGCAGGCAGCTGATTACAAGCGACGGGCATTTTCGCTTGCGCCGAGGAAATGGACCGTCTCACAAATGACTCCTCAGAGTGTCTGGCCGCTTCCCTCCTGTTATCGAGGTGGTAATGCCCCTTAGTTCCGACAAGTGCATCTCATACAAACCTCGCGGGGTTGTGCGGTATTTCTTGCACAAGTGCGCCGCCGCTGCCGTGGCGATCGCATGCTGTGCACCGTTGCCCATGAACTTGGTATTCGACCCGGCGACGTGCGTGACGCTGATATGTTTTCCGGCCATCATAAGGTTGGCGACATTGGTCGAATAGAGACATCGGAACGGGACGTCGTACGGTTTTCCATCCCGCTCGTCCCATCCCCAGAACTTCAGCCGGAAGTCGTATTTATCGCCTGGATAGTGTAGGCAGAATGCGCCCGTGTTCTGGACCACAGCGTCAGGGAAGTGCTTGTGGTCACGGATATCGGTTTCGGTTAGAACATGGTCACCCTTATACCGACAAAACTCGCCTGTTGCGGGCACGAATGCTACCCAGTCGAGAGCCAGATTGGCGTACTCGTCGGGTTGTATAGTCTTGACATTGGAGAACGTCCCATAGATGGCTCGTAGGAGATGATCACGAATGTTTTCGCCTTGGGAGTACGGGTCGAGCCAGTTGCCATATTCCCAGAAATGTGTCATGGGACCCAGCATCCGCCGCCGTACGGTGGGGTCGGGGGCATTATTCGCGGTCACAACTTGAGGACCGGGCCCATTGTCAAGGCCTGGTCGGACCAGTTGCCCGCGTAAATCCGAAAAGTCCTTTGCAACTTCGACAGCCCACGGGACATCTGGAAAGGAGACTGGAGAGTCGGCCATTTTTGTCCGGAAAAAAACCGTGTTGCCGTGGTGCATATTATCCCGTTCCGGCGGGGCGAGGCTTTCGCCGTACTCTGTTTGTGCCTCTTGACCGAATAGCGTCTCAGCACCGACATAGCGGCCTAGGATAGCTCTTCCCGAGCAGTCAATATAGATCGGGGCGGATAGTCGGATTTCTCGTCCGCTGCGCGCTTCGCGAGCATCGATCGAATCGATATGACGACCATTTGTAGTTGCGTTGTACACCGTGTGCTCCAGGAAGAGTGTTGCTCTTGGTTCCGCATCAAGTAACTGCTTGGCTACGAGGTCGCCGTTCGAATGTCGCTCGATAAGCTCCTCGACCACGGGCCCGATCACTCCACGAGGCCTTAGTCCGGCCTCCACGCTCGCGTTGCCCCCGAGATAAGGACGATTCTGCACTAGAGCCACGCGGTCTCCCAGTCGTGCTGCTGTCAGCGCGGCAGTTGCTCCGACTACCCCTCCTCCAACCACGACGACGTCGAACGTGCCGGCGTCTACCGGCTTATCAGGCAGCCCGCGGAGTCGACGTCGCCAAGCGCGGGCTGCCTCATCTGCGCCTTCCGGGGGCGACCTCTGGTGCTGACTGAAGAAGATGGCGTCACAACGTCCGCAGAAGCCGGTTAGGTCATGCAGCGTCAGTGTTGTCCTACCGGCGCGCAACCTGATCTTTCCACTATACTGCCAGTTCCAGTCCTTGTCATTCATACCGAAGGTAGTGTCCAGGTCTATTTCATTGACCGCCAGGGTGAACCGGCCCGGATGGTGACCCGGAACCCAGTCTTTCGCACGCACCCACACGTGGTATTCACCAGCGTCGTCGATTGCAATAGAGGTTGTGGCATCAGCGACAGGAACTCCATTTCCATGCGCAAGTAGATACGGTGAGCCCATCTCCAGCTCGAACTGCGAATCCAGCACCCAGCCACCGTAGTCGTCGAACGCTTCGGCCTCGACGAGAATTTCAGACATGATGAGATAGATCGTGAGAGGGTGATTGTGTTGATGATGCGTACTCAATGTAGCTACCTGTCTTTGCGGACAAGGAAGGATGCAGCGTCGACGTTGTACGATATATGTTTTGAGGGCTAGATATGTTGTTGATATTAGGTCGTTTGCCGTGCGTCCGAGTAGCCCATGTGGAGAGAATGCTTGCAACACCCTAATATTGCTCAAGGACTCTCTCTCTGGTGGACCTGACCTCGGCGATGCTGCAATGGGTCCAAGCCACGGACGCCAGCTTCCCTTGAGGCTCCGCTAGCCCGAATCTTCTCCAGGTATGATTTCGGCTTTACTGCATCTCGCATCGCCGCGTTTCCCACTTCGCGTTTCGGCCTCGGGGCTTAGTATGATCTCTCCAGAGGTAGAAAGAATGGGCGAAAGAATCACTGAAGCCTCAAGGATGACCATGCAAACATCTGACTCAGACACTCAGTCAGATAATGAAATTGATTAGTCGAGACCGAGGTCGGGGCGGTTCGCTTTCCACACAGTTGTGTACTGTTTGTACCTAGGGGTCACCATCACCCAAATGCCGACTATTGTTTTGCGCGGCACGCATCCCATTGGAATCTCTATGCGCCTATATTTTCAGCGGTCTTTGTGATTCTGGCATACGCTACACAGTTGTCTTTGGCGCATCTCGTCAAGTCGTCGAAACCATGGTTTTCTATCCAGACCCGTCCCTCCCCAAACTACCAGAGATCACGGATACGGTGCCGATATGCGATTTCATGCTCGATGAACAATATGGCCGGCGTCCTTTCGCAGAATCTTGGGACCCATACACCTGTGGCTTGTCAGGGAGGAGCATCTCGGCGAGACAGCAAAGGGAAAATGTGAAAAGACTGGCCCGCGCACTGGCGAAGGAGTTTGGTTGGAAAGTCAATGGGGGCACGGAATACGACAAGGTCGTTGGCGTCTTTGCCTTGAATACAGTATGGCGACTGGCAAATGACACTGTTGGAGGGTGGCTAACACAGTCAGGTCGACATCATGAGCTTGACCTGGGCAATTCACAGAATCAATGGTGTATCCTCACCCGCCAATGCAGCGTACAGCGCGGAAGAACTACGACATCAGCTTACCGACTCCGGCGCCAAAGTCCTCTTCACTGTCATGCCTTTACTCCAAACCGCACTGGAGGCTGCCGTAAAGGCGGGCATTCCCAGGAATAGGGTGTACATCTGCGAAATGGCCAACGATCCTCCTATTCCTGAAGGGTTCAAGACCGTGGGCCAGCTCATAAAGGAAGGTGAATCATTACCTGATCTTGAACCCATCAGATGGAACAAAGGCCAAGGAGCGAGACAGACTGCGTTCCTCTGCTACTCAGGTGGCACATCCGGGCTGCCCAAAGGCGTGATGCTTAGCCACCACGGCGTGATCACCAACACGGTGCAGCTCTCGATCTACGACCAATCCGCTCGCGATGCAATTGCCCCGGGCTACCACGATGTGGTACTTGGTCTGCTCCCGTTCTCGCATATATACGCCCTCATCCTCATCTGCCATGCCTCCACCTACCGCGGTGACCAGGTTATTGTGCTTCCCAAATTCGACCTGCAGCAGTACCTGACATCAATCGAGAGGTTCAAGATCAACGGGCTGTACGTTGTCCCTCCTATAATCATCGCCATGGTCAAGAACCAGCAATTCGCACAGAAGTTCGACCTATCTAGCATCAATTCGATATACACAGCCGCTGCGCCACTAAGCCAGGAAATCGCAGAGGAACTGGCTATCCAGTACCCTAATATAGCCATCCGCCAGGGATATGGTCTTACCGAAACGTGTACGGTGGTATGGTCGACGTCGGGGATTGATATCTGGCTCGGCTCATCTGGCTGCCTACTTCCCGGCTTCGAGGCGAAAATTATGGATATTGAGGGGAACGAAATCACGGGGTATAACCAAAGAGGCGAACTCCTCGTCAAAGCGCCGAACCTTGCGTTAGGGTATCTAAAAAATGAGAGGGCCACGCGGGAAACTTTTATCACCCTGCCAGAAGGTAGATTCATGCGGACAGGTGATGAGGTTGAGATTCGCAAGTCGCCCAAGACGGGTCGTGAGCATATCTGGATCGTGGATCGGATAAAGGAGATGATCAAAGTCAAGGTAAGCCCACAACCTCTACTGGTTAGGATCGTTCTAAGAGGCGTGTTAGGGGCTCCAAGTACCTCCCGCAGAACTGGAGGCGTGTCTCCTCAGCCACCCTGCCGTGCTGGATTGCGCTGTCATTCCAGTCCACGATGAGCGAGCTGGTGAAGTGCCCAAGGCTTTTATTGTCAAGTCTGCCTCTGCAAAGCAGGTGAGCGACGCCGCGCTCAAACAAAACATTGCCAAGTACGTGGAGAAGGAGAAAGCGAGGCATAAATGGCTTGCTGGAGGTATTGAGTTTACTGATGCCATTCCCAAGAGTCCTGCGGGCAAGATTCTCAGGCGGTTATTGAGAGATCAGGAGAGGGAGGCCAGGATGAAGGCTAGCGCAAGACTGTAAGAAGACCTCCTAGGTCACAATCGAACCGGTACTTTGTCGCTGTGTCTAGACCGCAAAGAGAGTCAGCCGCACACGTTCCGAGGATGTTTGATGTTTTACTTGGCAGTAGGTGGTGCGAAAAGTAGGCTGGTGCTGAGGATCAGTTGCAAGGCTCTGGAGCTATGGTGGAGATGTTAATGGGATCGCTGGCGGTTTATCCAAGGCACCATTCTGCTCGCAATTAGTAACTGCTTTAACAGTGAACACAGATGTTGTTTTGCTCGAATAGGCACTGTTAAGGGAGCTGACGCCTATAACGCCCTTACAAAGGATCATGTCCTGACACCAGAGTATTTCGCCCGTAACTGATTTCCACGTCCGACTCCAGCCACGTGCTGACGATAGGTACGCATATACACGACGGCCGGAGAGGGAGCACCCTTTCACAAGGTAGTTGAGCAAGCATTCCATCGGCGTGTATATAGAACTTGGCGGAGAAGTCGGTACGTCGATTGAAGCTATCTCGCATCTGGCCAGAACTCACAACGTCAGGATATGGTCCGAAGGTGCGTTGAAAATATCTTCCAATCCTGAGAGCCTACCAGTTAAACAATACTCCAAGTTAGCGGTCAATTTCCAAGTCATCCAACTGTAAGTGTAGACAGCAAAGCTGGAGGACCAGCTGGCCCAACATGAGGATCGGGCTCACACTGAACGCCGAGCGCACTCAGTAGGCCGACGAGAGAATCAGACAATTCGAGAGTGGACTTGCTCCACTCAGATAGAGAGGGACAACCTACAGCAGGAGGAAAAGCACCTTCTCTCGATCCATGAACGACTCACGAAGAAAATGGACCAACGGGACAGACAGGTTAAGAAGGCCCGATCAGCGCTGTACAGGTTAGAGCCCCACCATTAACCCGTGAAATAGAAGGACATGTTTCTAGCGCAAGAATTTTGATGATCGCACAGCTTAGAAGTTGGCGGCCTCTATGCGGTACAGGGACCCTAACCCTCTGCCGCGGAAGCTCCTCTTCTAAGCTTGTGGCCAACCTCCTCAGTGGTGAGCGGAGGCACGAAGAATGTTGGTCGGTCCATCGTTCGGTGAAAATGGAGCTGTATCGTAACTTAAAGGAGTATGAGATATCGTTGAAACATTAGATATAGTACTGTGGATGTTCGGACCTGCTGCTTTCCATAGACGCGAAACGAGGAAAGTTGGTGAAGGAGTCTGCGCGAAATGCTCACAAGAGCCATCAAGATTGGTGAGCCGGGATGTGACGAGGAAAGCGCAGGAGCGATTTGCCAAGGAAGACGAAAAAATTCATCGAAAGCGACCAGTTACCGAGATCGACTTTGGAGAAATTGACGACGAACCAACAACAAAAGGGCCCCGATAGTAAGCCTCCAATGGTGAAACCTAAACCTAAACCTGAGCCAAAGCAAGCCTTCACAGAGAACCACGCAGACATTGCAACCTGGGCGTCCAGCTGAGGAATATCGAACGCCACTTTCTCTTTTGAAATACCCGCATCTTCTGCACTGTCATCGGCCAGTTTAATAAGAATTTTGTTCTCTAACACGTTTGGGGGGGATCCGCAATGTGGTCGGAGGGCGTCCAGGAAAGAACGAGGGTCCCGATATTGGTACAGTGCAGTACCGTGACAGACATGGTATCATTTGTCATGTTTTGTGCGGCCTCTCAAGGGTGTTCGTCACCCCATGCTAAGACATGACCATTTAGTCGTACTCCATGACCCTTGGAACCGCGTGTGGACGGCATTCGTGTCGTCGTCACTCTGCGTCATAGCCGCTGCTCAGCGCGCGAAACGTTGGGCATGTTCAAGTGAGATCCGGCTGATTCTCACCTCTTTCTCGTAAGATATGTCTTCTTGAATTATAGGCGCAGGCATTCCTCTTCTGCTCTGCTGCTCGTTGTGGACAGGTCGAACCAGTTCAAGTGGTGGTCGACTGGTTCTGGCTTCCTCGTATGATGCAACCACTCCCGCTTGAACTTCAGGCGCAAGTCCTCCTGTTCTGGCTTGCTGTCCACTGCGCAAAGTCGACGCCGGTTCAACTGGGGTTCGGCTAATTCGGACCTCTTCTATGTGGGATGCCCCCTCTGCCAACTGAGCCTCAGGCGCACGTGCTTCTCTGCTGATTCGCAGTCCAGCCTGCGGCTCTGTAGATCCTCGTGTTGCCGTTCCCCCTGCGCGTTTGCAACGTCTCTGTTGCGAATGACCATCTCGCGGTATACGTCCAGTGCCCCGCAAAGTGTTCGCAGCCGGGCGTCGACGTCGTTGTCAAGAATGTTCATGATTGCTCGAGAAAGCGCCCGGATACCGTTCGCATCCCGTAGAAGGTGCTTTGTAAGACCTTTAACGTGAAAGCTGTGTTATCCTCCTTCAGTTGGGCGCCTTTAGCCAGTGTACGTTCACACAGGCAGGTTGATGATCCATAGTGACCGAGAAATATCGTGGCTCTTCATAGTCGAAATTTTCCACCCCGAAGCTGCGACGTATCAGTTTCAGATTGCCGTTCAACGCGATGGCTCCAGCACCAGCCGCCTAGTTCGTTACGACATAGTGGGTTCTATTTTTGGGCTGCGATTTGAACTCGATCTGTAGGAACGGAAATCGAACCTCTTGATTCGGGACGGCATATCTTTCGCCGAACTGATCGTCGACGAGAAGGTTAAGAGTCATAAGCTGTTTGCGCATAAAGGCTGCCCCAGAATATCCAAAAGCCAGATCTGGTTTCGATTTAGGCAGTGGGGGTGGGTTCGTTCGAACGTCCGATCAAGCGGGATAGGGACAGAATTAGACCACAGTTGGTCGGCATTCAATGCCAGTCGCTTATCGGGAAGCAGTTTCATAGCTGGAATGATATCGGGGGCCAAGTGATGTACGGTGACTTCTTCACCCTCCTCTTCAACCCTTCGGCTTGTTCTCATCAACTGTTGGACGGCTTCATCATCCATCTCGAGTTCCACCAATCGGGCCTCTGTTGCCGTATCATCGCCCAAAAGTATAGCAGATGCCCGACTATCGGGCTCGAGGTAGATCTGCCGAGTGTCGTTCTCTCTCACGGCCCGCCGATAGATAGGGCAGAGAGGCTCAGGCGCGTCGTCAGTGTCGCCATTCTGAGGAAAGGAGAGACAGGAGGACAGACGGAGGGAGAGGGTAGCCTTTATGATTTCGAAACCGGTCAAGTCCTGCAGCAGGCACGCTGGGTCCGCCTTCTTCTTTCCTGCTTTCCAACAGGCCACACACATAATGTAACCTTGACCGTCGTCCAGGCAGCTCCTGACCATGTCCCACAGTATCTCGCTGGCAGTGAACGCGCCACCCCCAGCCTGGAACGAACCAAGATTCGTGCATCTGAACGCAAAGATGCTCCTGGCAGAATGCGACAACTGCAACCTTGCGGAACAGGTGTGCAGACAGACCAGAGCACTCGGTCGCTCAGCTTTCTGCGTGGAAGCTAGACAGACAACTTTCCAGGCCAGACCCCAGCCAGAAAGACACCCCCTACCATGTCTTGCCGATTCCCAGTCCTGGTCCCATTCGATCTTCATGGCCTGGCGGATGGTGGATTTGGTATGAAGGTCCGGAGAGGGCCTAGTTCTGGCGGCAGTTCTGGGTTCGTTCGTGCATATGGGTTGTGACCAGAGGCTTCCTTTAGCCGCTCCGTCTGCTGCTTCGTTGCTCCGGGAGCCGGCCGGGCTGGTGGCTCCGCAACCAGACAATAAGCAAGCCAATGACACAAGAAGGCCGTATGGAAAATGGAAGGCGGCACAACTGCAAAGAAAAAGGGCTCGCAAAGATAAGGACGACCCAGGTGCTGTTGTAACTGGAGTGCCAGCAGGTCGCGGTCGCAGTACGGCGTATAGGAGCAAACGTGGAGTTAGGTATTGTTAACAGAGGCGACAGACAGGTAGGAAGTGGATTCGTAGAGTGTCATTTACTTTGCCAATGTTAGCACTTGAGTTCGCTCCGCACCATTGTGTCGGCATATTTTCCGTATGGAAGGCAAAGATACCAAAGACCGCATTGCTCTCTCTAGAGAGTATCCACTCACAGGTAATCAACCTGAATCACTTCAATGCTCTTCCTCTTCTCTACCGTTCCTTGCCATAGACACACGTCTCCATACGGTGATCCGAAATGGAATAAGAGCCTCAACGCTGGGGTGTACAAGGCCCAGTTGAGTACAAGGAGGCGGGCGGGGCAAGGGCGAACCATCTCCTTGGCCATCACCATCGCAATCGCCGTGCTCGAATATGCATTGTGGTCAATCGTTCCCACTTCTCACGAACTGTGCCAGTTGTATCGACTGAAAGCCTCTGGAGAAAAGGATATCTGCTCTTTTCGTCTTCTCCACAATTTAGGACAATCCGACGCGCCGAGTGGACGGCTCGTGATCCGGCGAGTCCAACCTATCCTTTTCGGCAAGGTAGAATTCGAGATGGGGGAGCACTCCACAGCTCGTCACCATGACTAGGTCTGTTCCTTCTTCAAAGCTCACGTGGGAAACTGGTCGCGGGGACTCCGAGATCGCTGGCATTCTCACCAGTCTCGATCTCTGGAGGACTGACAGTAATTTGATCGCTGGGTAGATGTGATGTGGGATTTCCATCGACGAGGATCAGGTTCGAGCAATTCGACGGAGGGGAGGGTTTGCTGCCGTTGTCCAAATATGCTTTGCTGAGGCCGTGGTATCACGCACGTTACACCTCCTTCTTCCTCCTCCATGGACGTGAGAACCGCATCTGCCGAGATGATCTGCAGGAGACCGGCTCAGGCTCTCATTCTCATCTTGAACCCCGCCCCTAGAAGAGATAGGGGGTCCGAGGCAGTACGGCGCCTTCATTTCATTGTTTCAACGCCGATCAGGCAGAGAAGCACGAACGCAGTGAGCAGCATCATCCCCGGTGGCTAAGCACTGACCAAGACACAGGCGCAGGCACGCTTTCCATCACCGAATGTAGCCCATAGCCACGTCCCCATAATGCGGTTCTCAGTGAGAAGTTACACAGCCTAACGACTCCGCTTGTGTAGATGAATTTTGTCATTGTCCATAGCCGAAGGTGAAGCCGCAAAGAAGGAGCAGAGGGGCCACTCGTGAGCTCAGCCGCTCAGACGCCAAAGGAGGTGGGCAGATCATCCGGTAGGTACAGGACGGAAGGACAACAGGGTGGATGAAAAGAGGAGAGGGGAGAGGCTCTGAGAGCTCGTCGGCGATTGGGATCCATCGATCCAGAGGTCTCTGTCGGCAGAGTGGAGTCGTACCAAGTGCTTCAGGAGAAGTCCCGTGCTCGAGGAGTCGATTTGTTGAGTAGTCAAGCGAACGTTGACTCAAGCGGAGAAATGAAGCACGACATCGTTTAGGAGTCATGAGAGAGTCTCCTCGCCATGTATTGAATGGGAGGCGGAGAGGACTGCGCCCCTCGCCGGCCCTGAAAGCGTCGACTCAGCGACGCTGCTTTTGGGAAAATCCCTAGGGCCTTGGCACAGGCAGCCAAAATCAGGCGTGTCTGACACCTGATCACGTGCTTCTGCAGGGCGGCGTCATCTTAGGCCGGAAGCAGTAAGCCATACCTCGTATACTCACCCAATCACCTCAGCTGACACTCTCCATAGCCCAAGGTGCTACCCCGGCTCGCCCGGTGCCAGCCCAATGAAAGAAGTGACACTGAGTCGGAAGCACGAGTCATGCAAATCGAAAGATACGACGTGAAGCCCCAATAAGCGCTTGCTGGGTCATGGAAAGTTGAATCAGGCAGTCGACTTTCCAAGACGAGGCACACCCTCCCGGATACGGATAAGCACGCGCGAGTCATGCTCGTATTCGTCGCGGCAATGAGGCTGTGCAACCAGCGCGCGGTTGGAATGAGATCATTCATCGCATGGGCTGTTCCCACCACTACCTAGGTGCGTATGTCTGGGTTACAAGTCCCCATGGCGTTGAAGCACTGGTGAATGGCTCTCCCGGTCCCCGTCCACCAGGAGCGACAAAGCTTGGGTGGTATTCTCCTGCGTCTTGCTGGAAACCTTGAGGCCAAAGACCGTTCAGCATCGACGGATACCCTGCAACTGGCTTTTTGGCTTGGCTGGAAATTAATTTTCCGGATTTCAACCTTTTGCACGGGACACCAATTGCGTAAAGTTGATGATGCTTTTTGGTTTGGAGGGTGTCATCTGCCCTCTCGGTCCTCTCTCAGGAAACCCACCCGAATGGAGGCAACGGTGATATACTTCAGAGCCAACGAAATTCAATTTCAGATTGCTGTGTCATGAAAAGGCCAGGGGAATTTCCTGAAGCAGAAAGACTAGCCCCGAACCCGGGAATGTCTCGGGAGAGCGAACAGAGCGCGAATTCGTACGGAGCGCGACATCGGTTACGAATTAACTATCAGCAACTCCGCTATAATTCTATGAGAGGAGGTAAATCTAGGCTCTATAGAGAGTATCTAGCTATTCTTAATCTCGCTATCGCTATTACTTAGTTCTATAACCTCGCTATTACTCTATCTCGATCTCAATCTTCGCCGTTCGCTAACGGACTATTAGATAATCCGCTCGAGATTAGTCTAGTACTTAATTAGACTAGCGCACTAGGAGGAGGAGAAACCGTTAGTAGCATCGACAACGAGGTTCAGGTAATTAATAAGGTCATTAACTCCTAGTTTATAACTAGGCGAGTAATTCCTCATACAAAATAGGCGGTGAAAGGCTCCACTTAGCATAAAAGTCGAGGTCGCGCTCCGTATGAATTCGCGCTCTGTTCGCTCTCCCGAGACAATCCCCCCGAACCCCACCCCTAGAAGGGACTGGGGGTCGAAACTTCACCTTTCAGCCATCCGCTCTGTAGGGAGCGAGGTTTCAAACCCTCCGTCTTAAAAGGGCGAGGGCATTTACAAATGCATGCCCTAGTCAATTGGCCTTGTTTCCCCCTCTCGCATCGAGAAAACCGCATTCATGCCCGGTCCGCCAATTGGCTCAGGTGTCTTAATCCTCTAGGTCATCCGCGCCCGGTCCCTCATTTCATGTCTTCACTCTGGGGCGATTGAACGTGCCTCGCAAGCTCGAGTCACGGTCCCAACCCTGACCGCCGTTCCCATGATGATCCGGAAAATACGAATCGCAAGACTTGGTCAGCCCCCTTGCTACTTCATGTGGCTTGGCTTTTCTGCCTGCTGGGGATGTCGCCTCACAGGAGAGTTTTCAATCTCGATGTGGTCGGCCTTGCGTGGCAGGCCACCGTTGGATATGGCGTTCGGTTTCTGCACGATGACGACTTCTTGGGCGGCTTGTCCAGCTTGAGTGGACACCGGCATTTTCTCTCGTCTCGGAAATTGGCACCGGAAGGACGAGGCGGAGTGCTTGGCTGCAAGGGGGTTCTCGATGGGATGGAGAAAGATGTGTTCGGTGCTGAGAGAAGATTCCGGGAGACGGAAATCGAGGAGAAATCCCAGCTGATGGACAATGATATCGAAACTGGACCACCTTATATGAGAAGCTGTTGAGGGAGAGAACGCGCGCAGTAGGTAACTCGTTGGTCGTGAGCGATTGGGCGACTGAAACCGGTGTGTGGAAGATGCTGCGCCCCGAAAAGAAGAACGAATAGGCTGGTAAGCGACTTTTGAGCGGGATTTCCCTCTTTTGGTCCAAGACAAGGCATCCAGGCAACCCCCGTCGGCATTGAAGCTCGTGAGGCTACGCCTCATTGATGGTGTGGCTTGGCTCGGCTCGCGCATTGACACAGCTACTGAAGCAGGGCCCCCATGCCATGAGATAGCAATCCGCAAGACGAACTGGGACATTGCGCGTTGGACTCGCGGCTTTGGATGAGCAGACTCTCGGAACGAACAACGCAACCCGTCCCTGCCCTTCTGAAACGATCACATCCATTGCTCACACGCATGGACACACTCCCCAACTTCGTCCTGGGCCCACATGTGATGATGATCATGCATTGCTCCAAACGCGGCACCAGGGTCGAATGCGTTTTGCTTGGAACTTCTCAAAGCCAAAAACTATGAGACACAGAGTCCGGACTCGCAGGAACATGGCAGCGAAGTGGAAAGGGGAGCAAAGTCAGTCAACTGAAAGCGACAGAGAAATCTTTCCAGGACTTTATTCCCCCAGACTGGTCCGCCCTCGACAGGAGACTTCCCAATCTTGGACTCGAAACGACCTCGAAAGCCATGTTTTCAAACATTTCCTCGCTCGGAAGATCATTTTTTTTATGGTAGAATTGGGCTGCTTTCGTCAAATTCTGTCCCAAGAATCGAAGCCTCAGTTCTTTAGTTCGCCTTTCTACGCAAGAGACATCTTCGATTGGGGTGCATTCGAGAATAGCTGCGTCTGCTTGGTCCGTTAGGCCGATGAAAACGGGGGGAAAAGGAAGGCAAAAAACCTTGGCAAGCTTCAAGAAGGGGCAGGTTATCACTATCACGAAACGGACAGAGAACGACACAGACTCGTGGCATGGTAAGATTGGTAATAGAAAAGGCAGATCTTTCCTTGGTCAGTATGTGCTTCTCGATTATAGTTTCCCCTCCATTGTGATGATCCCGCGACTATGCCTCATCATTTATGTCCAATTCTAGGCAGCTTTGTCTGGCCGAGTGGCTGACCGCGTTGGTGAACGCCGGCCAGCGGCGCGTTCCCTTCAAGACCAGCAGAGTCCGAGTTTCCCCAAAGCTGCTTGCGATGTATGTCCTCTCGAGCTGTCAAAGCAGGAGTATCTCTGACCATAGCTTTGCTGTTAGACTAAAGAGCTAAGAGGTGGAACCTTTTCGCGCGGCGTAGTGAGTCCTTTGCCATTGTACAACTTGACAAGCATCTGCGCCGCACAAGCACGTCGATCTGGGTCCCCGACCGCCATAGGCTCAATTCTTGGCACATGCGTCCCTAAGAGATCATCCGGGGTTTGGAAACAGCCGTACCGAAAGCCATTCACATCCAACGTCCACACTATTGTCGCAAAGAGCGACCAAATGTCTGGTTTGCAGCTCTGAGGCCGACCATGGAAAACCTCGGGGGCCATGAATTTGGGGGTTCCGGAAATTGTGGTGGCTTGAGGAGCATAATCGGAGCAGCCAAAATCTCCCAGCTGGAACTGCCACTGGCCGCTTCTGTCCGTGATGTAAAGAATGTTCGCCGGCTTCACGTCGCGGTGAATGATGTCCATGGATCGAATGTAGTCAAGCGCCTGCAGCATATGCCAGAGGGCACCGTCCGCAACTTTCATCATGTCAGCACGTCCCTTCACAATCAATGACTCTAAAGTCCCTTCTTTGAGACCCATGAAGATCTTCAAGCCACTGTCGAAGTCGCCTTGTGACGTTATATAGTTGACAATGTTTTTCTAAACAGGCATCAGTCTATGCGGAAGTGGCTGCATAGGGTTTGACTTACGTGGGTGACGCTAGAAAGAATCTTGATCTCGCGGTTCACCCCGAGAATCACTGCTTCCCTCCAATTTTCTTGCTCTGGAAAAGTTGGAGGTCGCTTTAGGACCTTTACAGCCATCAATTTTCCAGAGTCAATATCGATGGCCTTGTGTACTTCCCCAAAACTTCCCTGTCCCAGCCTTTCTTTGTTGACGTATCGCATTTTGAGCGCAAGAGATCTTGGAGTGTGGAGTCGAATCCCGCGATGCGGAGGCGGCTCGGTCGGTGCTGCGTCCTCAGTTCGAGCGGTACGTGCATGCTCTATTCGTGTGCCACATTCAGCACCGTACTGTTTGATGGTGTTCGCTCTTCCGCTGGGGTCTGGGCGCCATTTAATTTCGAAAAGAATGAGGTCGCATCGCTCACCACCCATTCCAATAATGTTGTTGAGTTCATCATCAACGACCACTCTCCGAGCCCGGCCGAATTCGAATGGCACGACCTTGGTCCCAAAGACGTGGCTCGTACAGCCATTCGACCGGTCGTAGAACATGACAATGCCGGTATCTAGATCAACTTCGAAAGAACATTGGATTCTGGAAATGTCGGAACCTTCCACGAAGATGTCGGCATTGGGGTCTCTCCCTAGTGTTGCGAGCGTTGTGGGCGACCCCCCACGTGATGGGAAACCAATATCGATGGCGGACTTGCCGTCGTCCCTGGTTGAGATGAGGTGTTTGTTCTCGGGATGAGATAGAACCTGTGCAGCCCGCATGTTTATGGCGAGAAGAGAAAAAAGCACATAAGGGCCTTGATTGAGCGTGGTCATCCTAACAGGACTGTAAATGTAGAAATAGTAGTATGAAAAGAAGCGAGGTGATGTTGCGTTGCGAGATGAGAAGAATAGCGAGAATATGTGCTCTTCCTCTCCGCAGACAGGAGCTCATGGTAATAAATAGGCCTCCAGCAGAACAGTTGGAGCAAGACAGCGCTGGACCAATACATGTTTTCGACTTGACAATGAATGTGAGGCTGGCAGTTTGTCTCATGTCTTGGGAATGTCTCTGGAGGGTGACTTTGACTGAGACTTCGTATCCCCTGAAGGCCAAAACCTGGGCAGAACTGGCTGCCAAGGTCTGGATTCTTCTCAATCACCTGTATTCCGCATGGCGATTTTTGAATCATGTTGACTAGTAATCTCTCTTGAGGACACTGGGCCATTGCGAAAGAGCAGCAACAGGGGTGAATGGACAGGGATACTTTCACAATACCTTCTTCACCGACTTCTCCACCGACTTCCCAGGCCACAAAGAAGAGCCCCTGCCAGTTCACCTAGCCGAACTTGAGACCAGTCAATGTATTGATAGTCTTTTGTCTGCACGAAACAATTGTGAGAATGCCGGGATGCATCTGTGTACCGAACGCCCTCGTCAAAAACGGCGACGCTCTGCCACTGTGAATCATCATGAGAAGAGCGTTCGATTGCTTTGTATCTCCCTTCGCATAAGCCTCCGACGCCACCGGGCAGAATGAAGGCGACGTGACTCTACCTGGCATGGTTAGTTAAAAGGCAACCAATGGAACTCATCGAAGGGCTATTACCTGGCCTCCGTGCCCATTTGGCTCGAGCGCAAATTTGATGGCCGCCTCGCCTTAGAAGGGTCCCTACAAAAGCCCTCAGAAGGATCACGAATTGGAGCGATGGAATTGATGAATTCTAGTACGAAGGACTATCTGGAAGGGTTACAGGTGGGTGACGAGAGCGACGACAATCACGTGCCCAGTGCAATCACGTGCCTACGCGAGGTTGCCTGCGAGCATGACAAGAAGAATTCCAAGGTGCGCCTGGATCACAACTACACATGTGGCCACCAACTAGGTACCTAGGCAATATTGGTGGGCTCGTTCCGATTGTTTTGTTGTTTTGGAATGGCACTGGGCGCATGACGCCCATCTCCTCAGCAACATTTGGACCAGTGGAATTTTTAATTTGTTACGCTGCACCTACCAACAACATGCGCGCTTCTGCGTTCTATATAAGTTGACGTTCGACGCCGAACACCAGACGATCTGCGTTTACCCTTGCTCTAACCCCATTTTTGCATCTACCTTTGGGTCTACACACATGGCTTGGTTCGGGGACAACGATCGTGGGGACGGATCAACGGAGTTTCAAAAGGCTCTAGCCGCAATAGCGGAAGATCTCCAGGACCCCATGTCACTTACGACAACTCGACCACTGATTCCAGAATCCCTGAACGAGAAAAAGCGACGTCCAAAAACCCTAGACCAGCTCATCCACGAGCGTTTAGCCTCCCGACCTAAGAGTCAATTCGTCCAACAGAGTTCCGAAGAGCAGAAGCGCGTTGAGGAGGCGCATAGGAACGGGACGCGCTTTCTAGGTGTGAGCGAAGACGCCTCCCGGGTTGCAGCGGATATTGTCAAGAAGCAATGGGTCGAGCAGGGCATCTGGCGCGACGAATGGACAGAAACGGCCTTGGTTCCAGAGAAATGGAAACACGAAGAACCGCTTCAGATCGAGATCGAGTCGGATTGGGACACAGACTCTGGCTCATCACTTAACCTCCCCCCCGGTACAAGACGGAGAATTTGGAAGAGTAAGGAGGCGCGGCAACAGATTGCAGCCCGACGAGCTGTCCTTGAGCGTGAGCGTGAGGCGTCACGGCCTTATCATCAATTTGTCTATCAAATGTCGAAAGAACGGGAACGAATACACCGTAAAGAAATGGGCCGAGGAGACGATTTCTCTGAAGACATCAACTCAGAAGCCTACAAGATTGTTAGGCAGAAGTGGTACACGCGAATGATTTGGAACGAAGAATGGACCACTATGCCAGGAATGTTCTGGAAGCATGAACAGCATTGGGATCGAGCGTTGGCAGAAAGTGGTATCAAGACCGACCCATTCCGACCTAAGGATCCTGATAGAGCCGGCCCTATCTTCGGTCTTTTTGGTGACGGAATGTCTCGACCGAAATCTTCTATCGACGTCCAAGTAAGTGGACCTGATAGAGCCGGCCCT